ACAGCCATGTTTGGCCTAGTTATCTGGAAGAGCCTAAGCGAATAAGGGGTGCTGGGTTAGCTTTAAGTCGTTTCGCCCTACTTGGATGTGTAGGTGGTTGTTTCGGCCCAGTAGGATATAACTCGTTTGAAAGCTAGAGAGAAAAACGTGTTTTAACGTCCACGCGAAACACACTAGGTCATTTCGGGACGAACACATGGTTCAATTTTAATTCAACAATTCGCTTGCAAGTAGGGTCTGTAGCAGTGGGAGGAAACCGGAGGACCCCGCGAAAACCCACAAGGATGGACAGGCGACCCAACTCCTTGTCACGTACAGCCGGGGAATCGAAACCATGCCAGATGACCCAATGACAGACCTTATGATACAGTGCGCACGTGCTAACCATTCGACCATCCAACCCGCCAGACCACGGCTGTTTCTCCCACTGACTAGAATATTTAATTTACCTCCGTCCGAGAGTTGGAACTTTTTGATATCCATAGAAGCTACATTCAAATTTTAACCTGCTATTTTGCAGACACGTGATGAAATTTTGCAAGGAGGCTGCAGGACACACTCAAAAATAACTCCGGTTTGCATAGTTATTCAGTGGCTTAAAATTTGCCTGAGAATCATTGGAAATTTTAAACTTGAGCTAAGATTGGCATGGTGATCAACTAATTTTCTATGTAGCGTAATTCCCAATGAAATCCTCAACAAAAATAAAACTACTATTATAAAATATTATTTAGAAAGTTATTAAATCAATAACACGGCATATGTGTCTGCTATCGAATTAAAATGCATTATGTAAGATTTAGATAAGTAGCTGACAGTTTAAATATAATAGTTTAAAAATAGATAACGATAATAAAAGAATATGTCAAATGTCGGAAATGTCAAAAAATTAAAATGAATTATGGATTTTCGTTTGCTCTTATATATGACTAATATGCCTTTAAAATTACTTATGTTTCAGCCTTATGATCCAAATTATAGGAAAACGAAAATCGAAAATTGACTTCCGTATTGCTCTGCTCATTTACAAGGACAGCTAAATTTAAACCCGCAAAAGTGTTCCGAAAATGTTTTCTAAGAATACCGTAATTCTGAGTCTCTCGGATAATTATTACCCAGTTTATACGCTAAAAGCTCGATCTAGAACGGAAGATAATTTAAGTAAATTTGTGTTTGCAGGGGCGGATCCAGGAATTTTTGCAGGAGGGGGTTTGCCAGGTTCCTCAGACAATGTACCCCCCCTCCCGCATGGTCTCTATCGTCATTTTGGCGTATATACATACACATTGAGCTTTTTAAACAGAGAAATTCAAAACCTCGTTTGACGTCAATTTTTATTATAAATTAATACAATGACATTGTGATTCAATTTCATGCATGCAAAGCATTAATTGTGATATTACATAATGTCTATATCATTATCACGTGCTTTGAGTGCCCATCCTGTCCCACATCTGACGATAAAGCCGACAAACTTTTCTCATAAAAATTGTTGAATTACAAAAAAAAAAAAAAATGTAGCTGAGCGGGGGAGGGGGGGGGCGACCTCCCCCCCCCCTCCTCTGGATCCGCCCCTGGTTTTATATGTATTGCGGCTGATCAGTACATATATGTTATCACGAAGTTCCAAGCAAAAATTTTGAAAACTAAAACATTTCCTAAAAATGCCACATTCCCAGACTTTGCTCTCAAATACAGCTATAAAGTCTCAAAAACAAAATTCTGAATCATTTTAGCCGATACATTTATTCAAATTTAAATAAGATCTAACCTTTTACACCAAATTACGTATTTCGGAGAGTTCGCATGGTTCTGACATGTGCCGACGTTTCAAAATACTTTAATCTTTAAGTCACTCCATGTGATGCAATAAGCATTTTTCTCCGAAATGAGAAAGGTAGAAACAGAAAAAAAAACATATTAACCCAAACAAAAACAACATTGTTTCACACAAGCTGCACAGTGTGAAAGACTTAATAAGTATTGTCGTGAAACAAACGGACGAATTCTCCTTCGCTAGACATTTCTAACCGAATGCACCCAATTTGTAAAGTACCTGTATACCCTAATGCGATATGCAAGCGTTCCATTTAACGCATGCGTAGTCATAATGTTTATGTTCTGAGAAAGTGACAATGTCGAAATATATGAAATTTACAAGAGAATACTGGATTTTATCGGACCTTTTAGTCATTTAGGCTAAGGGAAGAAATCAAAGGGGTGAAAATTCCAGGTATGCCACAGAGTTTTAGCCAATTTAATTAATAAATGAAAAAAATGGCAAGCACTTTTCGAGTCGGAGTATCAGCTGGAACAGACAGTATTTTTTATTATTAAAGATCTATTATGGACGATTAGATAAATGAAATGGAGTTTAACGTCCTACTGTTCTGCTCCTAACCTGGGCTAATGAAGACGGGCATACGCCATACAGTGTGCTATGAGGGAAATTTTGCCCGGACAGCGTACAGCAGATCGATTCAAATCCAATGAAAATCGGGCACATGGTCTTTTTCTGAAATAGTTTAATACTGCGTCGCATTTTTGTAGTCATGTCAACAAAACCGTAGCAGACGGGCAAGTAGACATCTGTTCATAAACAAAGTTGATATTGGAGAAAAATAAACAAAAACTAGTAGATGGTATTGAATGTTTTGCTTCTAGATTTTACCATTTGAGTACATTTGGGCATCTTATAGTTTTATGGTTACGAAGGAGAAACTTCACTTGACAAACACTCGAGGCTAAGATTAGATCGCACCTTGTATTTGGGGTCGTGTGTGGTCTAGTGTCTGTCATTCAAATCCCCGTTTGAACATGACAAGGGGTAGGATCGTCTGTCCAACCTCGTGGGTTTACTCCAGGTCCTCCGGTTTCCTCCCACTGCTAAAGACCCCTATACGCAAACGGATTATTGAAATTAAATTGAACCATATGTTAGTTCCAAAATCTCTCTCTCTCTCTCTCTCTCTCTCTCTCTCTCTCTCTCTCTCATCTTGTATTTGTTATGTATATTTATGATTGATATTTTAGGTGGAAATGTAAATAGGAAATATGGTGCTGGTGGCGGCGATAGTTTGGTAGAAGGACAACATTTTTGGTTACATGGAGGCCCTGTAGATGGTTCGATGTGGGAACCACCAGAACCAGACGATTTTGGAGGCGAAGATTGTTTACGCATTACGCACAATACAGATATTTACAAAACAAGTGATATTAATTGTAATAACTGGATAAGATATATATGTGAGGTTCTGGTCCTGTAAAAATACGGAATATCAAAATTCATAAGATTGCATACATTGGATACACCGTTTTGTCACCCCTCTTGATGCCACATTATACAATATTATATTGTTAAACATGCATTATGCAAGAGCTAAATCTGCCTATTGCAGGTCTTTCTTTAGGCCTGAAATGTTTTCTAAAGTATTAATTAGACATTAATTAACTGATCCAGGCCTTAATCAACTCTCGATGGCATCAGATTTCTCCGATATTAAATAGATTAGAATGGTTCAGCGATACTTTCATTTAATCAAACATGGAGGACCGAGACTTAGCTTCGATCAACCAGTACGGTGGTTGAAATTATTGCACACGTCTGTCAAACCTTCAAAGGCTAATAATCTAATATCTTCGCTTGCAATAGAGTAATTTGAATGAAATTTTCAAATTATTCATTTTACGTCATCTACTTTCGAACTATTATAGCAAGAATGACTAATTCTTTATCTAAATCTTACATTATGTATCTTTAAGTGGTTAGTTTTAAGCCATATTAAATCCGGTAAACATCACCGGTTCGTCTGATTATTATACATGATAATATTCTGGTAGACTTATATTTGTTAGGAGTAAACACTCTAAAATGAATTAAAGTTGTGTTACTAATGCAATTAACGCCATATTTTACAAAAAAACCCACTTAAATTGGAGTACACAAACACTTTTGTGATGCAAGATACGGTGTTAAAGTAACTCAATATCATCCAAAGTCTTTGACATTGAAAACACGAATTATTTGTCAGTTTAAATCAACATTGATTTTGAAATCTTACCAAGAAAAGATGGCCTTCTGATATCCAATATCTAAGACAAAATAAACATTTTACCAAAGGACTCGAAGAACAAGGCTAGACATATTTCACGGGTCATGCCAAACGGTGACGTCATATTCTTATCTGGAGAGCATGCGCAACAAATACTTTCTGTATAGACTGGAGTAACCAGACACTAGACATTGTCATTCGATTGAGACTTCTGACGTATTTCGCCTAACATAACTGATTAGAAATTACAGTAAAAACAGAAACCATCGAATGTAAATCAGTTTAAATACATTCATATTGTACTATTATATGCGTTGCGACCCATTTATGTCAATTTCTAGGTCCCAAATATTAGCTCCTTTAAATTGACACCTTTTTCAGAGCAATGTTTCCCTCATTAAAAATATATCGGTTGGTGTAAATGTAATAGAACGTGTATAGAGGTGTAGTTCATCCCAAACACCCTTTAGCGGCTACAATTACACCTATCCTGGTGTTCATTACTCATGAATATCGATTATACTTTTGCAACCCAATAAATGCTGTAAAATTAACACTGCTCTAGAATTTATTCCCCAATAATAGTTACACCCTTTGGTGTAAATGCAGTATAGCACTGGTAGTGGTGTAGCTTATCCAAAAAATCCCACAATTACACCTATTCAGGGGCTCAGTATATAGTCATGAATATCGGTTACATTTGTTAGGTGTAGCTCTTTTAGTTGGTTACCCTTGCAAAAGTATTACATTTTAAAAACGCCAGTTGTGCTGTAAAGTTTACGCTTATTAACATTGCTTATAGTTTTTCATTACACCCATTTTAACAGTGTAGTTCCTCATCTACTTTTCACATTTTTAACAGATACGTAAAACAAATGTTATTCCAATATCGTATCAGCGTGTGTTCCGATTGATTACTAATAGAAAGCTCATGATCAAAACACTGAATGGATCGACAATAAGAATTTAATATTTAAAACTCCATTGTGTTGTGTACATGTATTTTTTATATATTAATTAATAAAAAAATGAAATTGCATCTTTAATCATGCTTTTGCTTGATGAATCTTTTTAACACTTCAGAAAACACGTATGAAAATGTGCTATCATTTTACAGCAATGGTATATAGAACTTATTTACAATATTAATGAGAAAATAGATGAACCTCTTAACTATTTCGCATGGTTTCAAAGACTTTATGTAGTTTTTCTGACAACTCCAGTCGACTCGATTCCTTCCTTTTATCTAGATCTGTTACAATCTAAAAATAAAAATTAATAAATAATACGTTAAATGAGCACAACCCTTTATCCAGTCAGTTCTTTTTGCACTCTGTCCCATAACAAGACATTTCTGCTAAGATATATATTTATTCGCGATATTGTCTATTAAACCCTAGTTGAAAGGATTTGGTAAGGAGATTAACGTAAACAAAAGATCACATCACCACAACCCCATCACCGGAGGAATGTTACAATACACAACCCCATAACAGGTGGAATGTTAAAATACACCACCCCAAAAATCTTCTTACTTCAATAATTGCCTTGTAAATCCAAATCCCCTGTACACAAACTAATACTGCGTCTCAATATTTCAACCATAGGAAATAAATATATACACAAAGAAAAAGGTCAAGCACCCTATGTATTTTTCACAATAACTTAACTCGCGAGGTTTGGCGTTGAATTGAATTTCTGACTCTGCACCTTCATACTTATTGTGACTCCTTTTTGGCTCAAATACGTCATCATGGAATTCTTTCCATAATGGTGCTTACAATGTTTTCTTTTTGTCAAAGATATATTCTTGCAAATCAGATTTGTTTTTCCATGGTTATATAATCAGGGTCTCGGCGCCAAATCTTGTAAAAGGGTGCTTAACGTTTTTCTTTATGTATATATTGTTTCGATTATTGCAATAAGAAGTATTGCTATCCATTGAGTTAGAACCTTAGGATGATTGGTAATATATTTGAATCTATTAATCGATGAACTATCTTTAAGATTGTTTAATGTACCTATTAAATAAATTAAATGTAAACAACTCATCATAATTTAAGGTTATTTACCCGCCTATTATAATGATATAACTGAATAGAATATACCTGTCCCATGTAACTGTCTATAACTGAATAGATCTGGTACAATACGCTCTGTCTGTTTATTGGTATGGAAGCTGCCTGTAAAATATAACGTGTCAGTACATTAAAACTTACAACACATTTTAAAATTTCAACGGAGAACCACACTGAAAACAAGACCAGTACATATGTCACGTCGTATATTTAGTGTCCAACTGTGTAGACCAACACATAGAAAGCTGTCCTTGCACAAAACATTGCGCTGAAGATCTAAATTTTGTCACCCACGCACATCGGCCTGTTTGACCCTTTTATACGCCCACATTTTCATGTGGACGTATATTGGCGCCGTCCCTGTCCGCCCGTCCGTCCGTTCACATTTTGTTTGTAGACACTCTAGATGTCACAATTTTTATCCGATTTTAAAAGCCGTTCAAATTTCATCACCGCTACACCCTAATGGTTGTGGAGTTCGATTTTCGTGAAAATCGGACCGAAACTGCCCAACAAAATGGTCTAGAGACCCCAATTTTTATCCGAATTTGATGAAACTTAAAATGTATCGCAAGAGCTCGGTTCATGTTGTTGATATTGACGTATGTCGGACCATAACATCCAGGATTATGGCCCCTTATTGTAGAAAGTCACATTTTTTTTTTAGCTTGTTCACTGTCCATCTCTTGCATGGCAACCGCCTCTTATCCACATGTATTAAAAATATACATTTTCCATATCCGTGCTTGGCAAATATCTAGTCATTCAGATTAGGACGGTGAAATCCCTGCAGCCCCGTTACACAAATCTAGGGACCATTTGAGAGCTTCTCGATATGATGATTCGAATCATTCAAACAAGGTAAATGGACTATTTATTTGCTTAGAATCCTGGGTGTTGTTTCACGAAATTTTAACTAAGATAAAATCCAAATTTAAGTACTTTGATTGGATAATATTAGATTAATTTTAGTGCTTAGCCAATCAAAATTGAAGTACCTACTAAAATTTTATCTTTAGTTAAGATTTCGAGAAACAGGACCCAGGACTTTTATATGCATAATTAAACTCACCTCTTTGTAAACGGATATCATAGGAATCTGGGACAGCTTTTGTAAGATGGACTTATTTACGCTCTTTATTAGTTAATTTAAAATCTTTATTTATCAGGAATAAACCATCTAGGGATTATTCATCTAAGTAAGGAAACAACTTACCACTGTGGGTAACTTGGTTAATTCAGCAGAAAGTTCTGTATTACTAACGGGTTCACAATTCCTTTTAGATTTAAGGAAACTCTGAATGGATTCTCTGTAATCAGCACAGTCTTTATAGAATAAGAGTTTATGGGAAGGTGAATTCTGAAGTTAATAAAACATATAAAATATAAAAGGGTCTCAGACCATCATATGTATCGGAGAGTCGCGGTGGCTCTGTGGTTAAGAAGTTGGCTCGCTAACCTGGAGGTCTCCAGTTCGCTCCCGGACTTGGCCGTGGTTCCTCCTTGTCAGTGGTGCGGGACAGAGAGTATGACAAGTGACAACCCTTTTCGTAACAATGTGGTAATGGTATTGGGGGAAAGGGGCAAATGGTTAGCGCATGCGCGCTGTAACATAAGGTCTGTCATAGCGTCAACTGTACGAGACAAAAAGTAGGGTCGCTTGTCCAACCTCGTGGGTTTTCTCCGGTTCCTCCGGTTTCCTCTCAATGCCAAAGACCCCTACGCGCAAGCGAATTATTAAAATAATAAGATCCATTATTATAATTTCCTTGATTGTGAAATATGGCTATTAACCTAACAACAAATTAAGGGTTGTGATTGGATGCGACCAGCCTTCGACACACGCCAATATAATTCTGAAGGCTATTCTTATTCATATCCCAAAAGAGTCACAGCCTAAAGGGGGAGTACGGTGTGTGTGGGTGTGTGTGTGTGTATGTGGGTGGGGGGGGGCTTAGCTCTATTCTAGGCACACAATACAGTGTTTAATGTTTATACCCTGTCTGTTTCTGTTAGAATGTTGGTATTCTTTGAGTTCAGGATAGTAATAATATTGATAATAATGATTCTAAAATCCAACAACACAATAGCGAATAACACTAAATTTCTTTTGTAGAATTATCGTCATTAAAATACATTTACTATCTTTGGTGCTGGTACTCCACGTTTTACTTTAAGACAAATACATCAATCGAAAAAAAAGTTTTGGTTGATTAATAACGAGCATTAGGCTGACGCCTTACCTTGTCCAGTCTCTGTGGAGGTGAAAAACTATCAATATAGGCCAACTGTATAACGTTCAGGTTAGGTTGAACATATTTTTCACTTTCTTTATTTAAGTCAAATAAGAGTTCTGGTTGAGACAAAAGCCTGGTCCAAAATCTTATAGCGTAACTGTAAAGAAATATCATTTTTTAAAATACTTAACATTAATTACATGAATGGGTGAGAGAGAAACGAGGTTTAACGTCCAATCGACAAAAACTAGGTCATTTCGGGACGAACACATAATTCAACTTTATTTCAATAATTTGCTTGCGCGTAGGGGTCTTTAGCAGTGGGAGGAAACCGGAAGACCCGGATAAAACCCACGAGGTTAGACAGGCGACCCTACTCCATGTCACGTACAACCGAGGAATCGAATCCCCGCCAGGTGACTCAATGACAGACCTTATGATACAGAGCGCACGTGGTAACCATTCGCCCCCCCACCCCCAATGAATGGAATGGAACATGTCTCATGTCTTCCTGTGGCTTGCATAAAAAATGCACACTTTAAAAACCAAATGTGCATTATATTAACCAGCTTATAGAAAATAAGACGTGATAAGAGTGAAACCAAACGAAATGTGATTAAACGTCCTATTTTTCTGCATTAAGCGGGTTATTCAACACTGACATGCACCATGTAGTGTGCTATGAGGATATCTATCTCACCCGAACGACTAGATGTTGTTTTTGCCAGGACCGCCTCCCTACACGACTCACACGGGGAAACCACTCTCGGTAAGTGAACCCGCGTGAATACTAGAGTAATATTAAACATACACTATTTAAGAGCTAAATTGCAGGTCTTTCTTTAGGTCTAAAATGTTATCTAAATTACAAATTAGACATTACTTAAACTATCCAGACCATAATCAACCCTCGATGACATCGCTAGCCTGCGATGTTTACTGGATTTGAATACACTTTGTGATGGATGATTTAACGTCAAACTGAATAATCGAGACTTTGTCTAATGTCTAATATCTTGGTTCAGATTGGAACAAGTTGACTGGAATTTTCAACATATATTCTCTTTACGTTATCGTTTTTTTTTAAAACTATTATAGCGAGAACTGTCAGCACTTTATCTAATCTCCCATAATGCCCCTTTAGTCACACATGTAATCTGTTGACAATACATACCACATGTTATTTACCTGAATTAAGAGTTATGGGGTGACCATCAAACATTTTTATGACGACCTCCCTACTTATTAGTCTCACGTGTCTGCTCAGTTAAAGATGCATTATGTAAGATTTAGATAAAGAAATGACAGTTCGCGCTATAATAGTAAATATAGATAATAAAAGGGGAATATGTTGAAAATTTCAGTTAAATTACTCCATTCTGAGCGGAGTTATTATCGTTTGGAGAACAGTGTAGTCTAGATTGTCATTGGTACCGTTATTACGATAATAAAATCTCGATTATCCATTTTTTAATTAAATTATTAACCGTCAATCGTGTTTAAATCCGTTGAAAATCAAAAACTTCCGATGATCCAAAGAGTTGAGTATGGACTTGGCATGTGAATAAATGTCTAATTAATGATTGATATAACATTTGAGGCCAAATGAGAGATCTGCATTAGGCATATTTAGCTCTTACATAATGCATTTTTAGCCGAATCTATGCAAGCCGGAATACATTATTAAATAACGGATGCGATGATAAATGGTGGCTAACGTTCCAATAATTGCATAGCCCTGTCTGTTCTTTAAAATAGATATTTGGTACGAGTCATTTGTTGAGATCATAAGAGATTCTGACCTTTACCTTAACCATAAAAACAAACAAATGGGATATGCTTGCATTCACTGCATCTGCTTAATGCAGGGCAGTACACAATCGTTATTCTTTAATTTTATACCTCTGTATTTTCCATGATCCTATGGTTGTGCTATCCTGGTTTTCTTGTGCACCAGCCTTTTCTAAAATACTGAACAAATGTCGTACAGGAATAGGTACATCATCTAGATTAAGGATATGTTCTATTACGTCATCTATATATTTCTTTAGATTAAACTGTAACCAAAGATTGCAAGAAAATAATAACAATAATAATAACTGTCCATTTGTAATGCGCTAGATCCATAAAGCATGCTCAAAGCACGGTGAAGCGTATCACAATTTTTATCAAATAATGTCAATAGAGTCATGTGGATGCTCTGATAAAATGTGATACCCCCCCCCCCAACAGTACCCCCAAAAATGGACAGAACAGAGTTAGGTTTCAATTAAAATTTTACCTTGGTTTGCAAAAGTCTGTTCAAATTCAATTCCGCTAGTGCTTTCTTCGTCGCCCATTTTTCTTCATTCCCAACCTGAAATAGGTTCAGCAAAACTAAATACTATGTTCGGAATATAAAGTGAAATCTTGGAAAAACAGAAAAAAATATTGCCGCTGCTCCCGTGTTAACAAACAAAATTCAGAAACAAGATAAATAATGTTATTGTTATGATTAATAATTTAATAATTTGAATGTTATATTTTATGATTTACCAAATATGATTTACCAAATATGATTGATTTACCAAATGGAAAGTAAGGAGTTCTAATAACCGTGTTGGCCCTGGATCTTCCGTGGGCACCAGATTCTTACGTTCGTTCATTGATTGCAAGTTTTCTGTAAAATAATTGTATAGCGTGTTATTTCAATAATTAAAACATTTGGTTTAGTGTGGAATCATTTACTCGGATTTGTGGTCTTAATATTGGAAAGAGGGGGCGGGAGATGGCCGAATGGTTAGCACCTGCGCGCTGTATCATAAAGCCTGTCATTGAGTCAACTGGCGTGGTTTCGAATACCCGGTTGTACGTGACAAGGAGCAGGGTCGCCTGTCCAACCTCGTGGGTTTTCTCGGGTCCTCCGGTTTCCTCCCACTGCTAAAGACCCCTACGCGCAAGCGAATTATTGAAATAAAATTAAGCCATATGTTAGTCCCGAAATGACGTAGTTTGTGTCGAGTGGACGTTAAACCCCATTTCTTTCTCTCTCTCTTAATATTGGAAAGAAGAGAATGTAAATATTTTATTTCTGAGATGGACGTAGATCTTTAGAAAAGGGATATATATTATAAAGAGAACGGGGAAAACAGCTAACAATAAACCAAAAGTACTACCATATTCGGAATCAGCTGTAACTAAATCTTTGGACAAAAGGCAAACAGTAGAGCCACTGCTAACGCCATAATGTTCCATTGTGTTTAACTTCCGGTGGCAATTACTAGTTATAACACTTGACTGATCTTCATCATATAAAAGTTTACGAGCGGAATCGGATATCCTCCATTCTGTAAAATAACAAAGGGATATCGAAAATAAAAACTCCAAGGAACAGTTAGTTCTTCAATTCGATTGAGTATATTGATTTTGCAGTTACACTGGAATATTAAAATACCAAAAGATATGTAAGGAAACCAATGCAAAACAAATAACTGCAGCAGTTAAATGGGTATAAATATACATTGTATATGCGTTGTACCTAAATCTATTTCCTCCACTCTAGGTTTGGTTGATGTTGATTCTATCTTATAACAGGCGTTTATACATTTGTTCTTAACTTGAGTAATGGTATCACAGTCAAGTACTCGACAGGTTGTTTCAAATTTACCATTATTTATCAAAACAGTCAAATTCTGTAATAAAGGAATATTTAAAAATTAGAAATGGAGGGGCGAGAGAGAGAGAGAAATGGGGTTTAACGTCCACTCGACACAAACTAGGTCATTTCGGGACTAACATACGGTTTAATTTTATTACAATAATTCGCTTGTGCGTAGGGGTCTTTAGCAGTGGGAGGAAACCGGAGGACCCGGAGAAAACCCACGAGGTTGGACAGGCGACCCTACTCCTTGTCACGTACGACCGGGGATTCGAAACCACGCCAGTTGACTCAATGACAGGCCTTATGATACAGCACGCATGTGCTAACCATTCGACAATCCAACCCCCCTAGAAATGGAGGCCAGATACCATTATATGTATACCACTCATATTACCACCCCGCTAATTTCTCCTGTTATTTTCATAAAAGTCAACGCAAACCTCAATCCGATGACGCTTAGCAAATCACGACGAGATTCGTCAGACCAACATGCAGATATACCTAAACATGTAATTATATTTACGAATGAGGTTCTTATAGTTACTGCAAACGATTTAAAAGAAAGTAGAAATACGCTGGGATTCCACGTTTAGTGGTTAAACTTAGAAATAATGGCGAACGGATTCTGAAACCGATCCTTAAACATACATTATGCAAGAGCTAAATCTGCCTATTGCAGGTTTTTCATTAGACCTGAAATGTTATCTAAATTATTAATTAGACATTAATTAACTTATCCAGACCATCATCAACTCTCGATGGCATCGCTAGCTTGCGATGTTTATTGGATTAGGTTCCGATTTCCTGTTAGACTTCCATTCATAATTTAATCATGAAATGGATAATCGAGATTATGTTTTTTTATCGTACTGACTTTAGTAAAGATGATCGAGACTAGGTCGAAAATTCTATCGCTAAAATCTGGGTTCAGAGTTGATCAATTTGACTGAAATTTTCAGCAAATTCCCTTTACATTATATAGTTTTTAACTATTACAGTGAGAACTGCCAGATCTTTATCTAATCTCCCATAATGTATCTTTAAATGTTACGGCTTGAATTATAAATAATATTGTAGGTGAAGTCGTCAAGCGAGGATAGAGATCTATCTTGACATAATGGGCTAAATTCATTGTGTGTAGACCTGTTTTCCTAAAAATATGAAGTAAACAATTCTGTCCGCAATGGCGCTGTATAATAGTAAGTAATATCGATTTGTAAATTATTTTAAAAATAAAATATAGATCCACATGGTTTTTGAGTATGGTTCTTATTTTAATACCAGATCCATTACTTACCAGCACTTCCGGTTCAAAATCAATTACCAGTAAATTATGTTGACATAACGTTGCACGTGTTTGTTGAGTGACCGCATCGATAGCAGATTTTTGAGACAGGATTTCAATAGCCTTATATAACATAAACAACGTAGATCCGGAACATTTCTATGGTAAAAAAAGAGATAATATACTGCGCATTACACTTCAGGTACTCGATTCTTAGTTGAATAATCAAATCCGGCCAGCATTTGCATTGAAGGTCATTGTCACTACCACACGCACTTTTAGTGTTAAAGATATTTTACCGTGTAATTGTATGATAGACATAAAGAACTCTAACGAAAGAAATAACCCATATATTATATTTACATTTGTCTTTGATGAAAAGACATCCGGGGGACAAAATCTTAAAGTACATCATGGGTTGTTTTGTTCTGTTTTTATAACACAGAATGGTAGATATTTGCGGCTTTCAATCAAAGTTATAGATATTCTATGGACATTATTTTTGGTATATTGTAATTTTACAGAAAGTTATACATCATGCCAAGCTATGATGGAATTGTAAGTGTCGAAACTCTACATCAGAATCTGCTAAGACAATAATTCTAAACCAGATGATAATTACCTTTAAGGGACCATACATACAAACAGCTAACCAATTTACGACCAATTTTTCTGTGATTGTCTCCAATCTGAAGAGATAACATAATAAATTCAAACATTTTTAAAATTACAAAATGATTGTCAAAATAGTTATCTTTCAGGCGGGGCGGGGCGGGCGGGCATCTTATTAGAGTCAAATTAAAATTTAAAAAAATTGCTGTTAACTTCGCTGTACGAACTGCCCAACTTGTAATTTTGATAAGGAGTTTATTTCATCTGTTTTAACATATTCAAAATATCTTCCTTCCTCATATTTCTGAGTATTAGAGGTCCTATACTAGAGTGTTGGGGCAAATGCTCAAGGGAATCTCCAAACCTATGCACTTTTGTCAATCATTTCTAGCCTCAGCTTACCGTCTAAATATATACTTTTGTTGCTTTCTGCTTACGCGTTCTCGAATCAGCTTTGGTAGCAGCAGTTCAACTATCCTGAAAATAGTCAACCGAAAAAAAAAGATATAGAACAAACGTGTTCATAATGGCGAAATATAAACGCAATTTAGAATCACTTAAATATGCTAGCCATACCACACACGACACAAACTAGGTCATTTCAGGACTAACACATGGTTGAATTTTATTTCAATAATTCGCTTGAGCGTAGGGGATCCTTAGCAGTGGGAGGAAACCCGGAGAAAACCCACGAGGTTGGACAGGCGACCCTACTCATTGTCACGTTTAACCGGGGAATCGAAACCAGGCCAGTTGACTCAATGATAGATCGTATAATACAGCGCGCACGTGCTAATCATTCGGCCATCCAACGCCCCAACGTTGAATTGAAATATTAATGTAAATGTGAGCAAATATAACAATACATACTCTGTAAAATAGTCCATTTTGTCTATTAGAAGTAATGTTAGATAACCAGCCACATCAGACCTGTAAATGATAAAAACAACAGCACTTGACTGTTTATATGTAAGCACAATACTTTGATAAACCGAGTAATGAAATGAAATGAAATGGGGTTTAACGTCCTGCTGTTCTGCTCCTAAACTGGGCTAATGGAGACCGGCATACGCCATACAGTGTGCTATGAGGGAAATTTTGCCCGGGCTACGGCCTACTCTTATATCGAATTCCAAATGCCAAGGGATCTTTTACGTGCACGCCAATATGTACACGGGACCTCGGTTTTTTTTCGTCCCATCCGAACGATTAGACAGCTGTCCATGTCAGGCCCTCCGCCCTGCATCACTGACAAGGGGAAACCACGCCGAAAAATCTGGATGAACTTTCTCGGCCAATGCAGGGGTCGAACACCCGACCTCCAGGCTAGCGAGCCAGCGTCTTACCCCCCCCCCCCCGGTAATGACGTCGGTCAATTCGTTTAATACATTGTATAGATATACTGATGTCCATGAGATCTCGTTACTCTATCGTGTTCATATTCCAAAGTTGTAATATCGTGGACATATCTGCTGTTCATAGAACTGTAAACTACCAGAGTAAACAGATAAAAGATATTGAGCACACTAACCTGTCCTGTAGTTTAAATTTTCTTTGATTATCCATTGTCCGAATAAAAGAAACGACGAAAAATTTATTACTGATTAACTGATCTAATTTGGTCATGCTTGCCGCCATGTCTTCTTTAGTTCCTTCGTGATCCTTCAATAAAATGAAACTAGAATATTCATATGCGGATTCATGGCCCAATAATATGGCAAACAAGATGTAACCGCTCCTGTGCTGAACACAATTTCAAACCCGAATAAGTGGGACACGTTCAGCAATGGGAATTCAATTTGACACAATACTGAGACGCAATGCAAACGCAACATTGTTTAAATGGATTATTGCAAATCTCGTTTAAGAGATACTCATTAATTCTGCACTTTTAAACCATATCTTCAAGATATCACAGATCAATTCTCTTAATTACAAAAAATGGAATTGGATAGAATGGAAACGTTGAAAATCACAATTTTATGGTGCAAACATGGAGTATAAAATTGGGCTTTTAAAAAGCTAGCGTCAGCACAACTCTTACAGTTGAAGAATGAAGGAATAGCCAAAGTTGACATCTGAAACACCGAGAACGTGTCATTGTTTAAATTCAGAGATACTGGAAATAACTTTGCAACGGAAGTGGAGAAGGTTCCCACAAGCTATGAAGCCGTGGGTTATTTTTGATGCCAAAAATCACATTTCATCTACATTATGTCTCGCCAGTACTTCCAGCCAGCACCAGTGGTACATTTTCATTGGGTCTCAGTATATACATAAATTGTTGTTTCAATGGTTCAAGAATAAAATCATATATAAGTACCAACCTGTAAATCATTCAGTGCTGTATGTGATTTGATATTCTCACCAGAACATTGTGGAAATACAAATTGAAATACATATGTAAACAAATTATTAAATGGAATTCCAAGTTCTACTAATTCAGCAGTTATATCTGTCATATCCGTCTGCAAATCGGCAAAAGCTACACAAACAAACGAGAAAAACAAGTTACTAGTATTCATTATTAAATAAAATGGAATGGAATGGGACATGTTGAGACTAACACATTGTTATATTTCTTGTGAAAAACGGACAGTAAAACATTTAGAGACCAATGAATAGGCACTCAGACTTATTCATGTTTTACAAGATTCTTCTTTCGAAAAAATATCACCTTGATTCAATAACCACGTCAATAGTTTATGTTATTTATTGTTTGTTTTTATTTTAGACAGCTTTCCAAATTAAATCCAGTCGAGTCTCATCACATTCTCCAAAATTTTAGACAGATTAAACATTGGCGATAAAAATTGAAACTGGTATGTTGCTTTTTGGCACGTTATTTTAAAGTGTTGCGGGATGATGATAAAAAATATGATTATAATTATAAAGAATATGATAATAATTATACAGAATATGATTATAATTATAAAGAATATGATTATAATTATAAAGCATATGATTATAATTATAAAGCATATGATTATAATTGCATATGATTATAATTATAAAGAATATGATTATAATTATAAAGAATATGATTAAATATTCAATCCAGATATGAGCATACCCTCTCGACATTGTTCAATCACTTCCATTTCTGTTTTTTCAATCACATCTTGGCATTTCTGTTTGTTCCTTCTTGATACGTATTTAAATATAACAACTGATCCAATAACCACACCTACAACAACAGCTACCAATATACCAATAATAATATATAACGTCGGATCATCAGTTTCAGGTTTCACATATATATATTTTAAATAGCCAACTTCAAATACCAGGTTACCAATTTTTACCTGCATAATGGTAAGAAAATAATATCTGTTTCTAAAGATGCACTATGTAAGATTTAGATAAAGAGCTTACCGTTCTTGCTATAATAGGTTAAAAATTGATAATGAAAAATGAAAATATTGAAATTTTCAGTGAAATTGTGACAAGAAATTCGCCAAAATAGTCTTGATTTACATAAACATTGCTAGGATATTTTAACGTTTAACGAAGATATGGCAGACATTGTTTAATCCACCTAATACCTCAGCCAACCGATGCTCTATAGAGTAGATTATGGGCTTGGCATGTGAATAATTGTATAATTAATTAATTCGAAGCCAAAATAGACCCGAAAAGACAGATTTAGACCTTGCATAATGTTTCTTTAATTTAAAGGTAATAACAGATAGTGTTGCGTACATAATGAAGCAACAAAAAGGAAGCACAAGATTTTATTATCAGGGAGCTGATATTGCTTATATATAAGGCCGTCCGTTAAATGCCCGTGATGCTTATACATATACAAGTAAAATATAAGCGTCGATTGGGGCGTAACATGAAGTTGATCTGCAACTATCCATAATGCGGTAATGTATCGATGTTATTTCTATACAGGTGAAATATTGAATGAAATGAAATGGGGTTTAGCGTCCTACTCTTTTACTCCCGACTGACCTAATGAAGGCGGGGTGTGAAATATTAAGGTATAACTATTATATTACCTGAACCTCTGGGGCTGGTGATGTTTCGTTTTGTTTGTTCGGTTCTTTAATAGGCGGATAACATTTTAGTTCTGTACTTGTTAACCTGTGTACCACATCACACTCGCTTTTCCCCACGGATACGGTGTAATCCTTTGCCTGGACAGCATCATTTAATCGACTTCCCTAAAATGATACAAATTAATTCATAAGACCAATGTAGCAATATTATGGTCCTGGAATAATATTGTTTATTAGATATGACATTACAGGAGATAGATAATACATTCATTTAGATCTTTATCAAGAAAAATAATGAACCCCACCCCGTCACCCCACCCCACCCCGTTTTCAAACTGATAGCGGAATTGCGCGTTAAAATACTCGTCGGAGTGTTTCGTTTGATTAGAGCTAACCCTACTTAACACTGCTGTAATAGAAGCAAATTTCTGGTCCAAATTATGACTGGTCAATAGTCCGTTTAACAACCAATTGCTAACTGCTTAACACTATCATTACGCTTTAAACAGACCTCCAAATTGGACCAAATATGTTTACATAACATGACTCACGATTTTATTATGCCCAATTAACCAGTGCATAGCAGAATATTGCAGAAAAACTAATTGCATGACAAACGAGGCTATCAATACGGATACAATGTAAACAATACTGTTTGGAGACGAACAGTATTTCACCGTTTTTAATACCTTAAATCACTGTCCAAAGTTTTAGGGAAGACCCCAGATTAAACGAAGGACTGTCATGTTACTGTACTTGGGATAGATTTGATTGAAATGAAATGAAATGAAATGAAATGGGGTTTAACGTCCTACTGTTTTGCTCCGAACTGGGCTAATGAAGACGGGCATACGCCATACAGTGTGCTATGAGGGTAATTTTGCCCGGACAGCGGCACTACGGCCTACTCTTATATCGAATTCCAACTGTCAAGGGATCTTTTACGTGCACGCCAATGTGTACACGGGACCTCGGTTTTTCGTCTCATCCGAATGACTAGACAGCTGTCCTTGTCAGGCCAGATTTGATTGAACGGGAAGAATAGACACACTCCCTCAAAAGCACAAGTATCAGAAGCCAATCTAGCAATGGTCAGATAGGGATATCTCGGGATATTGCTTCATGAATATGCCAAACAGATGCCAAAGCCAGTCTTAAAAATATGGAAATATATGTTATATACATTAGAATCTTCGTCAGTCTCTCTCTATCTTCATATTAAGCATGAATACCATGCATATTTCTGGCGTAAAGTTAACCAATCAAGTAATTAGTATTTGTTGACGCATACGCATTGTAGTCTTTCAAACGATAGAAGCATGGCCAGAAATGACTTTTTTTTATTTTTGGGTTCATTATACTTATGCTTAAGTGGATGTAGCTGCTGTAAACTTTGCATTTGAGATGTATCCTGCTTAATACAAAAAACGTATGTATTTTTAAAGAGGTGTGTATTCCCGAAGTCATATTGAGGTCCAGGAGTGAGAGCTGCAGCAGTATACACGCCAGTCATACCTAGCCGATTAGTGGCCATGGAAAAGAATGTGAAGCAGGGGTACTCACTTCGGCTTCAATATTTATAATAATCGGACAGCGACAAACAATCAATACAAGCGAAATGAATTCTCCCTTAATGGAACCACATGATAGATAAAAATACATAAAAAAAATGTTTTAGAATTTGATTTGTTGGAGGAAAAAAGTTAATATTTGTGTCTTATTAAGTCGCATCGATGTCATCCTAATCAGTGATTGTTGCGGCCTAGGGAATATTCATTGCGGATCAGTGTGGGGGTAGCGCTCTTGATATTAAAATGCTTCGAGGGGAGTGGGAAGCCATCTTTTGAAAAATAAATTAGCTTGAATATGTTTTTAATCCAAATCGGTCTTCAAATCACACAGTTTGTACTAGAGAAGGCATCTTTGAAATCGTCCACTAAATTAAGCGATTACTTCCCTTGTTATCTTATTCAACTGAAAGAATATCATTAATAGGGTTACAGTCGAAATTACATTAACAGACCAGGACTTTGTTTATACGATTATTACCAATGCTGGGAAATCAAGGCTTTAATACATTACAGTTTTCGTGAGCGACTAAGCATTTTTGTTAAACTTTTAAAAAAACAAATTAGTTTTACAAAATACCATGGCTATCATAGTTATACACTGTTTTGACATTTTTTTCCAGTTGTATTTGGGGATGTGAAGAAAACTGGGATTGACAAAATTTAAAAAAAAATGACATACTTTTATAATGATATATCCAGATTCTTTCGAAAATGATCGAATGTTTTTCTCTTCTTCGAATTCTAATATGACGGGATCTGGGGTGTAAGCTATTTCACTCTTTAGTTTGATTCCATCCATCTTGAAAACTATTCCTTTTTGTGTTGTTAAGTCACGTTTAGACCGTGAGATTGGTACAGTATTCGATGGGGATGGACACAGGATCATGCTATCATTTCTTAAACCAGAGCACGGCTAAAAAAACAGAAACAAACTAAAATCCATTAATGTTTATTTATGAGAATGTGTTTTGCTATTTCCAGGTTTCTGTAAATGTTGTTGGGAGCCACGGTGGCTCGGTGAATATGACACTGGTTCAATAACCAGATGGTCCCAGGTTCAACCCAGGTGATGGCCTGGTAGTTTCATTGGGAGTTTATCTCCTCCACCTAGGCAAATGGATTAATTTTTAGATATATTGATAAATAATAATAATAATAGTAATAATGTGTCCATTTAAATAGAGCCAGATCTACACAACGTGCTCATAGCGCATTTGTTTTGATATATTATATGACCAACGTATCCGCCATGCGATGGTAGATATGTTTCCATCTACTATATACAAGATACACTGAGAAGCGGCAACTGAGCTTGGCCAATCGAGAAGGGCCTTGTCGAAACAAAGACAATTTAGTTGTGTGTCAAGTTTCCTGACGTGACTGAGAGGGGGTGGGGGTTAGTAAGCGGTGTGTTTGGGCGTACATGGTGCTAAATTTAAAGGGTAAACTCGCACAAAAAGTAATTGGATGCTGACGATCCAGTATCCACTTACCACAAAATCTGAAGACCCCACAATGCCAATTTCCGGTTGTTGAATGGCATTAAAACCGTTGCCAACAACTGTTATATCTATTCCACCACTAAACAATAAAATAAACAGTTTAACATTATAAGCCAACATCCACCGGGTCCCTTACAATTCCAACAAATACTAATGTGTGAAATATCTAACCTGCCTTAGATTTTCGAAAGATTCCATCAAATGTATCCATTATAATAATAATAATAAAAAAGGACATAATCTATGAGAAAGCAGTATTTTGACTTGATGACCATTATATGTACACCGAAAACATTATTAAAACCTAGTTCTTTCAGTACTGAAGGGGTGTCAAGTTCGATGGCCATAAATACAAAGTGACAGAATATGGACTGTCTAGTGCTTCGGATGTTACGAAAAATCCGAGGTTGGCGTACACGTAAATGAAGCCATGACAACTGTAATTCAATTGCTACCCGGACAAAATGCCCTTATATCACACTGTATGATGCCCGTCTCCATTAGTCTAGTTGGTGATGAAAGTAGAACGTTAAACTCCAGTCTTTATATTCGTCGGAGAGCCATACATTTCTTGCAGGGCATTAATGGCATTTTAGGTAAAGATATATACCCTGTAGTTCTTTTAACGCCAGAACAAGAAAGGTGCAAAAATCACTTTGATCAACTCCAAAGGAAATCAAAATTTTTAAATTATATACCTTGAAATTGTTTTGTTAGGTGTGATGTAACTCAGCGTTGGATCAGCAACATAGCAGAACGTACTGTTCAATTTAATTGTGTTACTGTTTCGGAAGGTCAGGTGAATAGAAAGATTATTGGCTATTTCTCCAGGACTAGTTGTACACCCAATCCATGTTGAAGTTCTGAAAAAAAATGTAAAAAAGTAGTTAAATCAATCTATTTAAATCAATGCGTCAGAAAGGATTATTTCGTCAAACCAGCCTTTGCCATACGAGATACGCCCACATGGATAGAGAACAAGCTAAAGAAAACCCTCGATTTTTCGTACAATCAGGGACCATAATCCAGGAAGTTATAGTCTGAAATGCGCGGCTATCGACAGGAACGAAGATCTTTGGGATATAAACACGTTTTAAGTTTACTTAAAATCGGATTAAAATTGTAACCTGTAGAGGGTCCACAACCTTGATATTACATACTTTCACACTATTTGCGTACAAAGAGCGGTTTTTAATATCGGATAAAAATTGTGACCTCTAGTAGGCCCACAAACAAAAAATGTGATTTTTTGTACAATCAGGTGCCATAATCCTGGAAGTTATATTCTGATAATGATATTCGCGAATGTCGAAAGGAACCGAGATCTTTTAGAGATAAACCTACATTTAAGCTTCATCAAAATCGGATAAAAATTGTGACCTGTAGAGTATCCACAAACAAATTGAAGACGGACGGACAGGGGCGACGACAATATACGTTCACATAAAAATGTGGGTGTGTAAAAAGACTATACGAATACTGTGTTTTACTGTTCAAGAAAATTTTTCAATAAGTACCAGTGAACTTACAGAGTATCAGTCGCACAGACAAACTTATTGCCAATGGTAATGTTGAGGTCATCCTTGGAGCAAACATCAAAATCAGCTCCAGTGATGTTGAGTTTTGTTCCACCGGCTACAGGTCCTTTATTAAAAAGTATTTCAGAATCCTTCGGATCCTATATATGGAAAATAAATATATATAATAAACAATAATCCTTCATTATAATAGTGTATTTCCCGTTTTTGTTTATAATACTTATTATCAATTCTGTATATCCCACGTTTGCTTATAATATTTATTATCAATACTGTATTTCCCGCTTTTGCTTATAATACTTATTATCAATTCTGTATTTCTCGTTTGTGTTTATAATACTTATAATCAGTGGCGGCGCCAGCCGTCGGTAATTGGAGGGGCAAAGCTGGGGCAAAGTCCAAGGTTAAGGGGGCAAAGGCACGAGCTTCAACTAGGGTTAGGGGGCCTCCCCAAGAAAATTTTGAAAAACAGGTTGCCGGAAATGCAGCCTGGCAGTATGTCAAACGAACGGACTTGCGAATCACGACGAAGCCCACTCTCGAGCATCAAAGTAGGGAGTCCTCTCCCAGAAACTTTTGAAAAATAGACCGCCGGAAATGCTGTCTTACAGTATTTTGTCAGGCACCGATCGTCCAGATAAATAGATCTGCACAGATACCGTTCGTCGCCTGATCACTAGTTTATATCCGACTAGAGAACAAAATGTCAAACGAACCGACTTGCGAACCTCAACGAATTCCCCTTGTGAGCGCCAAAGTAGAGAGTCCATTGGGGACCTCGCCAAGAAAATTTTGAAAAATATACTGTCGGAAATGCTCTACAACATGCAAGTTTATGACTGAGTGGGGATGTGGGATTTATTCACCGTAGAAGGTATTGATTACCGAAACGTATCACAAATACTTTTTTTTATTTTCTAAAATTATTTGGGGGGGGGGGGAATAGAGGGCAGACCAGATTAATGGGGGGGGGGGGCAAATGCCCTCCTCCTTGCCCCCCTCTGGCGCCGCCACTGCTTATAATCAAACGTTTGTGTTTTTATTTCATAAACAAATAAATGAATGAACTAAAATTTACCTTGTAACTAAATACTTGTTTAAGTAATGTACTTGTATGATTCCTAATGCGAACTGTAACATTTCCGTATCTTGCTTCATTGACAATTCCGGCTTTACAACTTATCCTGAAATCAAATAACAAGGAAATTGCAGAACAATCGATGATTCACCTTTGTGTTTGATCAGAGACGGCATTTACATAATATCGTTTAATACACCTAGTTTTCACAAACAGTCAAACACATTTATTGACAGACTCAAATCAGCTCAATTTTATTGTCATTAAAAAATAAAAAAATACATTACCTATCTGAATTGGAAAGATGTTGGATTACTGTGCAATTTACTCCTGCCAGCTGGACAATATCAGTGTCTTCATCAAACCTTTCTAGACCTTTACCATGTATAGTAATAAGTTCACCGCCGTGTATTAAGGTAGCGTTTTGGGAAACCTGTAACATAAGAGCAGTTTAGCCGACTGTTTTCACTGTTTGGGTTGAGTTGGGATAGAGTTGCGTTCATCTCAGTCTTACATGCTTTAGATTGACCATTCTTGTGCCCGCTTTGTTTTCATGGTCGCTGTCCATACCATGACCATCATTCATGTGCTGGTTTTCGTAAGTAAAAAACACACAGCGAACGAAATCAGCTGAACATTGCTTGAGGAAGTCGACAAGGTGAGTATAGCACCTGCTTATTTTACGTTCCTAAATGGGCTGTTCTACTTTGCATGATGCAACAAAATGCATGAGAAAACAACGTATGTGAAGTAAATAAATATCAAGCACAATATATCCCACTGAAAAATATTTTGAACGGTAAGGGTTTAATGATTACGAAGACCAAAACAATTTTATGGCATCCTTAAATAAAAATGAGGAAACATTTATATATACATTGTCAGTCTTTAACTCCATTGCGAACACTTTTGATTTCTAATACTCCATTAAGCTAGCATAAATATGTGTAGCTCTTGCAACCCTAGAAACACGTTCGGGAACAGTTCAACATAACAAAAGTATCTCCATTATTATTTTTCATACACACATCAGTGTCGGTTTTGCTTAATTTCGAACATCGATCCAGTCGAAATTGAGGACTTTCCAGATTTGCGCAGAAGCAAAACGTTGTTCATCAACTAGGTTTCAATTTAAAAGAAATGGTCATAAAGCATGTCAATCCTACAAAAAAGAGTATCTGATAGTTGTAAGATATAAGTGCAAGCAACTGAATCAGATTTAAAAACCAAACAAACAAAACATACACCGTAGATTTTTGGCTTTGGGCATTGGGGTGCCATGGAACAATTTGATAATTCTTTATGTTCACACTGATGCTGAGCTTCACACCACAGACACCCATACTTCATATAGTTGTCCAGACATGTACTGCAGTCCATACCAATATCAGTACAGTTGTACGTTCCTGGTATAAATGAAATGAAATCATGTTTTATGACATGTCAGATCTAATATAAAAAGTTATCTGTCAAAAATATTATCTCTTTTCCTTGTTTATTTGTTTATTATTTAAGTGCATTATGATTTCGTTTTATTTACTTACAGACTTTATTGCAATGCGGGGGGGGGGGCTGAATGGTTAGCGTGCGCGCGCTGTATCATAAAGTCTATCATTGAGTCGACTGGCGTGGTTTCCAATCCCGGTTGTGCGTGACAAGGAGTAGGGTCGCCTGTCCAACCTCGTGGGTTTTCTCCGGGTCCTCCGGTTTCCTCCCACTGCTAAAGAACCCAATGCGCAAGCAAATTGTTGAAATAAAATTAAACCATATGTTGGTCCCGAAATGAATGACCTAGTTTGTGTCAAGTGGACGTTAGACCCCATTTCTCTCTCTCTCTCTCTTATTGCAATGCTGCAATTATTATGCAACTTATCGTTATATGTGGACATCATTTTTTATTTATACCATAAGCACGATACAACTCTCTTGTATTAAGATGCCTTTAAGATAGTTTATGAAATAAAACACATACCAACTTGGATTGTTTCGCGAATGGTAGTCAAATTGCCATAGTGAAGTTCAATTGTGGTATTTGATTCCAACTGAAATTTAAATTAAGTAGATATGTCTATTTATTACAATGCCAAGAACTATTTTATATATAAATAACACTAATGACACACTCTAACTTAAAACTATAGTTGCATGTTTTGTAAGTCATCTGTTTTTAATATGTTGAAATAAAGCCCATTTCCAGTTGAGTAACTGACAAAATCATCTTCAAATTGAAACCAAAACGTTGTTGTTTTGTAAGTTCATTTACCCATGTCATCATTATCAACCACAAACGTTGACAATCGAGACATCTCCCTGTTTCCATTATGTAGAATTAGTTTTCCAGTGAAAAAAAATATACAATTTCCAATGGGCTGGATTGGTTTTTATGTGAAAGTTTTTTAAGTGCTGGAATGATTCCTATGATTGTATAATAGTGATTTGAGAGCCTATTCAGCAATAAATATAGAAATAATTATGTTTTGACTTTGTTAAAAAAAATATATGCAACCGAATTTTTAAAAATAATTATGTGTTTTGACTGTCTTACAAAATATGCAAATGCAACTTTGAAATAATTATGTTTCGAATTTTAAAGAAAAGATACAACTACAACTGTTTGAAGTATTGGTACATAAACTTAACAATGATATTTCTAATAACATACCTTGTAAGGAGAGCATTGTATTGTTGTGTGATTTATATAATCTGCTCCAAGAATTGCACCATTGATACTACACCTAGGTTTAATTTGATTCTAAAAAGTGTAATGAATTATTCATTGAGGATTAGGAAATATATATTATTAATAAATCTGTTATCATTTTTACATTTGGCTACTTTTAAGCTAATACATGTGGATCATAAAGCATTAACATACCGACTTCAAAGTGGCTAACTGAATTAATATATTCAACTTACGTCATCACAGGAATTCGGATTTATGAAGTGTATTCCATATATACTAATGGATTTGTTTAGTCCGACATGGATCTCTGCTTTAGAAACTGCACGGGGAAGATTGGAAGAAATAACTTGCTTCTAATGGAAAAACAAACGAGCTTATTGTAATAACAATTCAGCATTTTATATTAAACACGACAGAATGGCAAATTAACTCATTATCAGCGCAGATAATTTTATACAAATGGTCTAAAAACTGTCTAGCAGGCGTGTGTGTGTGTGTGTGTGTGGGGGGGGGGGGGAAGTTGAGTGGTCGAATGGTCTAACACGCGCGTTTTAGATTATAAGGCCTGTCAATGAATCGGCTGGATTGGTTTTTAGTCCCAGCATGTACGTGCCAAGGAGTAACGCCCCCTTCCAACTTTATGGGTTTTCTCTCCCCCGCTCCCCAACCATTGCTCTCTCTCTCTCTCTCTCTCTCTCTCTTCTCTCTCTCCCCCAGCCCTGTATCTCCCCCCTCTCTCTCTCACTCGTGTATTACGGCAAGGATTTTACACAACTATTTTTAATTTTCACAAATGATAAATTACCCCAGGTGCATTACTATCTGGACCTGGACATTCTTCATCTGAATTAATACATAGTTCATTACAAACACACCACTTGCAGTTTGTTGGTCGACAGTTACCTTGAACACAACGATATAAACTGTAAAAATAAATAAATAAATAGTTACAAATTTCAGTGTATTGAAATATAACATTTTAATCTGATTAAATCATAGGTTCCCAACCTTTTTTGGGTGGCGACCCCATTCCAGACCCAGGATCAGATCGCGATCCCTCGAAGAACAAAGTCACATTTTACTATAAAACATCATTATCATTCACTTTTATTATTGTTACTCATTAAAGGTCTGATAACAAATTATTGATTTTTTTAATCAGTGTGATGGTTGCGCCTGTTTTTCAGCGACCAGGTTTTCAATGCGTGGCTCAACGCCACTCAGCGCGACAATCATGTCCCTTTCTATTTCAAGCCGGTTCCTAAATGATGAGCGAACCTTGAATTTTGCAACTCGATTATCACAGGTAGATATTTCAGCTGGAAAGCGCGAGGCTTGGTATTTGCGATGATATTTTTTATCGAGGAATCTGAGAGGTCTAGAGCTGTGTCCTAGACCAAACGAAATTAGTGACGAAAAATGTAGATTGTAGAGTGTTACGTGAAGGCCTTGATAAGATGTACGGAGTTAAAGCGAGATCAAGATGAAAAGATAGCATTTTTTTTAAAGTTCTCGGACTAGTCCGCGACCCCACGAAAAGTCCTCGCGACCCAGAGGTTGGGGAACGCCGGATTAAATAATGAAATCATCTTGAAAATCATGACGCCAAGGATAATATGTTGTGATTTTAAAGCTGTATTATGTAAGAGATAAATCTACCTATTGCATGTCTTTAATTTGGCTTCAAATGTTATAATTACAAACTATTTTTTAGACATTTATTAACAGATGGCAGAGATTTAAATGGATTAGAACGCCCGCAAGATTTTAAAATTTAACGATAAAATGGATATTAGATACTATGTCTCGCTTGTCCAGTACCGTTGCTACGATGATAAACACGTAACCTGGTTTACAAATTTACTTTGATTGTTCAAAACCTTTACATTGTTTGATGAGAACAGGTGTGTGAATTTAAATACCGAAGGTATTACAAAATACGAGGGCTGGATGAAAAGGTCTCAGCCTGAAAAGGATAGATCAATTGGCTTGAAACAACAAACTTTTGCCATCAACAAGTACAATTATTGAATGAAGCATAGTGTTATTATTGTCTTCATACCACACCATCTTGTGAACGTACCCATTGAAATCACCAGAAATGGACAAAACTGGTTATAGGACAGTCATCAAGTACCTGCAACTGAAAGGACTACCCCCAAAACAGATACATGCCGACATGATCTCGCCTTTAGGGGATGGTGCCCCTTTCTTTTCCACAGTAAAGAAGTGGGCTGTGGAATTTAAGCGGGCACAGAGAGCCTTGCCGATGACACGCGTTTTGGAAGTCATCAACAGCAACCATTCAAGAAAACATTACCCAGGAGCATCAGAAGTAACTTAAATGACATTTTAAATATATTAATTTTTCATCATCTATTTTTGAACTATTATAGCAAGAGCGGCCAGCTCTTTCTCCAAATCTTACATGATGCATCTTTAAGCTAGATATTAGACCTGGATAGTTTTAATCTAAACTTACGCGTTGATAGAAGTACAGTTGTAATAACAGATGACCTGTTCTGCCACATTGGATTTGTTTTGACCCCACCGAAGAAGCACAGTCTGATTTAGGTAATGGTTTCCTAAAAATATACAAAATATATCAGAATTGCTTTTACAATATGACACTTTGCTCGTATTCATAAAAAGAAGTACTGACGCGATTATCACTTACGTACACGTAAAGAACCTGTGATTGTTGGAATTCGATATAAGAGTAGGCATTAGCGCTGCTGTCCGCGCAAAATATCCATGGGCGTATGCCCATAAATCATTAGCCCAGTCAGTGCAGAAAAAAAGGAACGCCGTTTCATTTTATTTCTGCTCACAGATAAAAATATATATCACCTGTTTGAGCTGGAACTTTACATTTGGGTTCACTGCTGACGTCAGTTACATCAAAGTCTATGTCTTTTATGCCATGGATGCCATTGATTCTACTATAGAAGCATGTAAAATTGCCGTAATTTAGCAAAGCCGTCAAGTTGAAATGTATTCGGAACTACAAGTAAATAAAAAAAATCAATATTTAACGATAAAATGGATATTCGACACTATGACTCGCTTGTCCAGTACCGTTGCTGCGATGATAAACACATAGCAGTAAATAAAAATAACACCAATATTTACATTGCTAACAAAGTATTCATTATATACAGCATGAAATGTTGGTTAAGGACGAACTCTCCCGATGCCATTTTACCTGACTGTGAACCACCTCACACCAAGCGCTGGTTTTTCATGTGTCGATTTTAGCACCACCACCCCATCCCACTCCATCCCACGCCTTACACGTCGCCATAGAGAGCAGATAAACGTATGTTAATACTAGAGTTACCTATGAGTGGCCTAAAGCGTGTGTGCATTGGTATTGTTACCTGTCAATCACCGGGGTATTTCCCGGGTCCCTCGGCTTTAAATCCCGCCCCCCCTCTCTCTCTCCGCCATATAATCTGGTGTTAAATCCTTGTGCTTGTGAAATGTTACCTCTTTTTCCTTTCCCATTTGGATTGGTGACACATTTAAAAACACATTTGGTTTGGTTTGAATACTTGGAAGCCAATATCTGTTTTCTCCACACGCGGCCAGGGTTGTGCACCTACAATGTTTATATGAAATCTCTAACACATTTACAAACAATTTTTCAGCTACACTTCCAGGCCCGTAACTGGGGGGGGGGGGGGCAAAAATTTCGCCCCCCCCCCTGTGAAAAAATTTTCAACAATAAAAAAAATAGATATACATTGTCCGTTAATATTAAAGCACCCCCGAGGACACTTCCCGCCCCCCTTGTTGCTCTGAGCTAGTTACGGCCCTGTACACTTCTAATTCATTGTGCGTACAATACAATAATAATTGTATGCTTCACATTGTATAAATTAATACATGTACTTCACTTTTATTCCCGAAACAAAATAAATGAAATGAAATGAAATGGGGTTTAACGTCCTACTGTTCTGCTCCTAACCTGGGCTAATGAAGACGAGCATACGCCATACAGTGTGCTATGAGGGAAATTTTGCCCAGGCAGTGGCGCTACGGCCTACTCTTATATCGAATTCCAACTGCCAAGGATCTTTTACGTGCACGCCAATGTGTACACGGGACCTCGGTTTTTCGTCCCATCCGAACGACTAGACAGCTGTCCTTGTCAGGCCCTCCATCCTGCATCACTGACAAGGGGGAAACCACCGAAACAAAATAAATAAATAGTTAATTACTTCTGGACTTTTATACACCAACCACATAAACCAAGACCCAATGTATTTTTTAAACATGTATCCCATGTTTTATTGGTACATTGACTTTCACTTTCATATTTTACCTTACAGAAAAAAATAAAGAAATGGTGTTAATAATATAAAATATGTTTACATGCTAATAATATGACAAACGACAGGTTTTTTCGTCAATAGGGTCGTTTTATATTTTAACTCCCAGAAAGATAGGGTGTCGGATTGACTTCCGAATAACTCATTAGGAATAATATACGCCCACGTAACATTACAGAAAGAGACACCGTGATTCGATCTGGACACATTGGATGTATTCAGGTTAGTGGGGGTGTCGTGGTTGCAATTTCGGGTGGGTGGGGCTTTTCAGTAAGAGCGTTTCTTGAACCGTTTTTTTTTGTTGTTAATAATTTGAGTTATAGAGATTCTTCATAAAGGATAGATTATCTCAACGAGGGTAAAAAGCAAACGGTGCTTCTAAAGTCATAATTCATCCTTATCTACCTCCTTATCCTTATCCCCCGCCCCCCCCCCCACCCGTTGCCACCGTCGCCAGTACCAGTATGTATCTCGGGCCCCACTGAAGCTAATTTGTCACGAAGTTTGTTTCGAGTTTGGACACAGAAGCATGCCAACATCTCTATGAATTTGGGGGCCCACTGATGAGTACGACTCAGGCCCCACAAGTAGAAATATCCGGCCCTATCCCTGGGTCTATCTTGTTAAATTATTTACACCCAGTTGTCAAGAACATATTTTATAGCTTATCATTTACGTCTGAAATAAGTCGTGATAACAGGGGCTAGTCTTTGACTTATGTTAGTGGTTGAAATCAATGACTATATATCTGACATAAATCACGCTTGACGGAAGCATGACTGATAAATTGTCGTAGAATTTGTAAACTTTAACCGGATAAGGTGTAGTATATTTAAAGGTACTTTTCCCCACCACCCGCATAACTTACAGAATTATTTGTAAAAGCAACAATGCCATCATGTACAAACTTTAATCGGTGAATTTCTTTTTCTGTTTTAAATGGAATTAGTATTCCATTGAATTCATTTACATTTTCTGAATTAAACCCCTGAAATAGATAAATTATTCAATGTCAGTGAACGATATCATGTTTCCTTTAAATGATTTGGCAGTTTCCTTCGACGTGGGCATTTTGACGGAAAACTCTTTTGTGAGTTTATGGTCTAAAACTAACAGGAAATAAAGGTCATTTTTTAAAGTGATGCAAAAGCCTAAAAGTGACATTTAGGCTACCATTAACCTGGATCACAAAGGTTTGCGTTATTATTTGAACTTCCAATCCATGTCAAACGTGCCACTGCCATAAAGCATTGTGTCGTTAAAGGTTCAAGAGGGAGAACAGACTTGCCTATTTCCAAAATCTAATATAATACATACCCGGTATATTTCTCTTCGGTCCGTTCCAATATAAAACAGCACATGGCGTCCATTGTTAAAAACAGTAGCAGTGAATGATGTTATTTTAGACAGATTAGGTAGGGGTATCCTCTTTGTAGGTCTCAATGGTTTATTTAAAGGACCTAATACAATATCCTGCTAAAATAAAGCATGAAAAACTTACTCAGGCACAGATTAACAATTTTAGGTTAAAGAACATGATTGGAATGTCACTGTAGCTGGGCAATTTACTCATTTGGTTATAATGTTGGGTATTATCTATGCTGTAACAAAATGTAGTGATTGTTGCACGCATTTATAAATCATCTGATACCACTTCTTATTTAGTTTATATGGCTAATCCTTGTGTAATCAACAGGGTAATTTGGCAAAAACTTTGATTTATATATATACTACAAATAAACCCATAAATCTGTTACTTCAAAGCTTACCTGATTTTTTATAGTGTTAGTAATGTTATCAAAATGTTCTATAAGGTCGCTCATTCTGTAGATACAAATATCATTATCAAATATAGCAGCGAGGTATGTAGCATGGGAGCTTCCGTCCTCTCTTAAAATCGCTGCATGCTTTAAACTGGTGCTGTTATCGCATTCAATCACGGTGTCAGTAAAGACATAATCACCATTGTTACATTTAGTAATTCTTGCCACCTTAGGTGTCATTTTGTTTGATATATTATCAAATCTCTGATAGGTCACAATAAAAGCAGATTCGTGTGAACTAAACCCAGTTTTTGGAATGTAGTTTTCTAAATAATTATTTTTATCATCATCGGTTTTAAATTCGAAATGCATCTCGACAAAGTTTTTACAGAGTATACCGAATGTATCGATATCACGAACACTTATTAGACTATAATTGGAGAATTCGCTCTTTGGTGCAGATAATGCAACTATCAAAACCGATTCATTTGCTATTTTACCAACAAAGGCAACAGTGGATGACGACTTATACTGTGGGACAATCGAGACTTTAGACGGGTTCTTCGTGGCGTTAAAATTTGACACGGCAACCTTTTTACAAATACCACCACCACCTGTTCCACAGAATATCAACGAATCATCATGTTTCACTAGAATGTGGTTAATGTTATTACTATCTAAACTAGCGTTGATTCCATATTCTTTACAAAAAGAATTATTCAACTTATAGATGAAGTTTGATCCAGCAAGGTAATATTTGTTATTTGTCGAATCGAAAATAATATCTGTTGGGTGTTGAGCCATGAAAACATTATCTGAACAGCGATTACCATTGACAATATTCTGAGTCAACATAACCAGTGCACTTATTCCAAGATACACTCGCCAAATCTGACCAGCCATAACTATTCTATATATTCACGTCGAACCTGTAGGTAAATGTATAAATATAAGTAAGAAAATATCATGCATACACAATGAAATTAAATCTAAACAATTGATACAACTTTAGTTAAAGATACATTCCCGCGTACAAACTGGGTGATTTAATGGTATATATGGACTAAAAACATATTCAAACTAATTAATTTGTCATAATTTTGCTTCAAATCCTTCTCAAACATTGTAATTGCGAAGGAATGCCTGCTATAAATATTCGATCAAACCAGGTCATGTTTACGTCACGTGACTTACCTCTCTTGGAAGTCAGAGGAAAATTCATTGCATACATATAAGACGATGTTGTCTTTAATCGCTTACTATTTATTACAAATATCGAATCCTAATTAAATTCTCGGATTATCCACTACCCGCGTCTTTTTCCGTCATTTTTATCTCCGAAAGTGTTGTACATCTAACTCTTCATAAAGTTTATCAACTTGTACATCAAGCGATCAATGTTCGCGTGTGACCTTTGACATCACGCGTGCAGAAATTCCTAATCGTCGGGCTGTCGATTAGGGAAACCCTTACATTTTTGTCCTGTATACGCTTCATGAGGGTTTTTCGGAGAATCCAGTATTTTTCTAGTAAGATTGGATATCTCTACTTTCTGTATACCAAAATTGCCATACTTTTATTGGAAATAACCACCCGATAAATACTTTTCTGGGAACCCATCTTTAAATATATTGAATTAAGTAGATTTAATTAATTTGTAACATTTCAAAGGAAGTGACTCATTGATATCCCTGCTACTCGTATCAACGCCCATCGTGTTTTCATCTTACCATGAAATGGGTCTGTGTCTTTGTTAAATCACTTACCATTATTTGATTCAAGTTACTCATTTTTACAGATTTTATATGAAATAGACTAATTGTATATCATTTCCGTAAAAATATATCAAATTTATTTTCAAGTCTACATAGTACTTGCACTGCACTGCACTGCATACGTTTGCTTTCTTAAATACATGATACGGCAATATTTTAATCCTAGTTTCGTCTATGGGTCATATGACAATGTCATATACTTGACACAATGCCGGTCTTTGATTTTCATTCCAACAAATTATAAAGCCCTTGAACTAGCAAAATATTTTATACTTACATAAGCCTGTAAAGGCGTACTGCAAGGGGCGTGATTGTTTCACACATATAATCAATGGATATAAAAATATTCGGAGTGATGTTCAATAAACTTATCCTGAACTTAATTCAATTGTATTACGACACACTACACCAAAATACTATAGTAGTCACTTCAGAAGAAGGAAAGTTATAACGTCAACCAGGCTATTTTATTATAGTATGTTATCATATTAAACATCCTGGTTTCAAGATACGTCAGTAAAGAGGAAACATTAATGAGCATATTGCCTGTTGTAATCAAACTTTAGATCTTCAATGTTACCAAAATTAACTTTCGTATTACATGTATATCCCAAATATTATTAGCATGCTTTGTTTCATTTCAGCAGAGAAAACGGACGTCGGCGATGACCAAAATGCCGCAATTTGAAAGTTACAAACCGGATGTTACTTATAGGCACTAAGATTTCTTTTAACAATTATAATATGTACTTATGCCGATCTGTGTTTTCAAAAGAGCAATACCAATGCGCCTTTAAAAATGCATTTTTAAATTTCCTCAAAAGGACCCCCAACTCCTACAACTGATAACCTGCCATTTAATGGGCAGTGATATTATGCAATAAAGCTAATGAATGTTAAGTACATGTATACCTTTTCATGTTATATATTTATATATTAGTTTTATTTTACTTATATACAAAGATAAATTGTGTCATTACATGCACTAGACGTTGACCGTGTTTTTTCTTTGTTTTTGTTTATGTGTTGTGCGTTTCTGTCAGCTGTTTTTATGTGTGGTGTGGTTATCCTGCATTTTATGGCAGTGAATTATGCACTACTTGACTTCAATAATTGGATTATGAAATTTTACTTATCATTATTGTTCAGGCAGCAATTTTTGACGGCCTGGAATATGTCATCACGTCTTTAATTACGTGTTTCGGACCTTCGATCGAAATACATATTGTTTCTGTTAGTGTTTTTATTATATTTTTTGGGGGGCGGGGGGGGGTGGGGGATTTAGTCAGTTTGTTGGATTTTACAAAAAACATTCAAGTCGATATTTAGCCGCCATTTTAATTCCGATTTTCGAAAACTTATTTTGCAGTGAACCTACTCCAAATAGCAACAATTCTTATGGGCCGATTTTTGAATTTCGATTTTGATTACTTCCGGTTTCACTTTGAAGTTTGTTCGACTTTTCAACTACTAGATGGTAACCTAACCTTTCCATGACACTTGCCCTTTGTATGTATGATGACCTTGATGTCTACTAACAATTAATATAAAAAAGTTCGCTATGAAGTATAACTTCCGGTTTTATTAAGAGTTCAAAATGATAGGTTTTCCACTTTAATAGGTATTGGATGTTTTATACTCAAAAATTTAGGTGTAACTTGAATGTTGACGTGACATACTGAAAGACGTCAGTACTCCTGGAGTTCTAGTATTTATTTATGTCTGGAAGTTTCAAGTGAAAATACTGAGCAGTTACAAATCAATCGACAATATTGCTGAAACAATGCGCCATTAACTTATATTCATTTTATACTATGCACACTTTCTTTAATATTATGTTATCGGTTATCAACAAAACACATACTTATGGAAACCAGCTACTAGTGTATTTAAGGCGACGTTTCGTAGAGTATTCTCTCAAAGTTATCAAGCTAATACAGTAAAACAGGTATGAGGCAAATATATATAGACAAAATACAACAACATAACCGAAACCATACATAGCAACAACATGATCAAAGGCCTACACCAACACTTATTAAGATATACAATAGCAGATAGAGAGTTAATTAACTTATAGTTTATGGCCAGTGAGGATGTCTTAACAACAAGAATGAAAACCATACCTTAAAACAATGGTTACATCTCACTGTGCCCACTTTTGATTAATCCAATTAAGTTCTAATTAGGATTAGTGTATTAAGCGGATTAGGATTAGGTGTTATAGGTAATTAGATGGAAAAAAACAAATATTGAAAGTGACTAAATATTCAGTCTTATAATTGGTGAGATGAACTCACTGTAATCGTTAAAGTGATGAATTTTATTCAAAAAATGACACTTGAATATAATATGAATTATGTTCCGTAAGCCTACACATTACACGGTCTTTATAAGGACACACAGAAGTCAGTCTGTCATATTTCATCATGGCAAACGTTCAAGTAAACATCCAGTACATCCCCAATGCTCAAGGTGGAGAAAACTTAGTCCATGAAGAATACAAATTCCGAGTGAAGAATAGGAAGGCAGAACGAGTATACTGGAGATCAGAGAGTTGTGACACAATTTGGTAACAATATACAAAAGTAAGAAAAGAAACCGCTATGTTAAACGATGAATAAGCTGACTAAGTAGTTGCGATATTAACCGAATATGGGAGGTGATTATTATAGTTAAGACAATAACTTAAGGCAATAGAGTATATACAACAGATAAATGTAACATGATGAAGGGTAGATTAAATATAACTGTTATTTCATTGCACATGTCTATTAACATTTGTATTTTTTTTGTAATTTTATGATAGGATAATTGGATATGCAATAGAGATATAGATTTAATGTAAAAACAAAAACAACTTAAAACAATGAATATAGCACGATTTGTATTGCCTCCATTATCTTCCGTGTCTTTTCTATTGGGAGATTAGATTCCAGGGTTTCGTATGACATGATTCTGTGTCCAGGGTTGGTCTGGAGATGTTGTGCAACAGCTGAGTTAGTGATGGACGACTTGGACTTGTGCTGGCTTATTCTTTTATCTAGGGGTTGTCTAGTTTCACCGATGTAAGTACTAAGACAAGAGCAGGCAACTTTATAGACACACTCTTTCTGGGGCAGGGGTTTATTCGGGAGGAGCTTACCATTAGCTTTCAGGATATCTTTAAGTGTTCGGCCCTTGGAGAAGGTAACCTGGATACCTATTGGGATGAGGATTCTCCTGAGGTGGTAAGTGAGCTTCCCTTGAAACGGTATGGAGATTCTTATAGGTGGTTTTTCTGGTTTGGTTTTCCCTGGATCTGTAGGGGTGTCAATGGTGGTTTTAATGGTCTTTTTAACAAATTGTAGAGGGTAGTTGTTCAGGTTTGTTAGGGCTCACTAGAGTGTCCTTGTTGACTCATAAATCGACACGAAAGCCTATATTCCTCCTAGAAAACCTGAAATTCTTCACTTTGAATTCATTACTCTGAAACCATTTACAGCTAGCGAGGATATTCATTAGATTAAAGTCCCCAGGCACTTTGAAAAAAAAATCTGACGAATCCCGTATAATTTCAACAAATTCAACACACACACTATCCGGTTAGTCGCCGCGGTGGTTCAATCTACGCCCTGGGTTCGGTAAGCTATATCATTGTCATTGAGCATGGGTTCTCAGATGTTTTTCACTTCAGCATAACGCTGGTCGGATCCTTGTGTGCCAGTGCCGTTTTGTGGACCTCAATGTTAGAGGTCTCAATGGGTTTGTCGTGGGGAATGTTCCCAATGTCTTTCTTACATAGATATATAATTCTCATATTTGTTTTAGGGCTGTTTAACAATTTCACATGGATGGTCATCATAATTACTCGAATGACACCGATCAAACACATTTGGGAAGTAAATAATTACGGTCGATATCCCTGTAACAAACCTGGATTTACCTCCCTTGACATGTGTAGGGATATCCAGAAACAATACAAAACTGCGGAAATGCACTGCTGTTTTTATTAGAGGTAACCAGTGTATGTTAATAACAGGCCAATTGCCTACACATGAACATAAACAGTTCATATGGGAGGGGGGGGGGGTGGATCGCCGAATGGTTAGCACGCGCGCGCTGTATCATACGGTCTGTCATTGAGTCAACTGGCGGGGTTCCGATTCCCCGGTTGTACGTGACAAGGGGTAGGGTCGCCTGTCCAACCTCGTGGTGGACGTTAAACCCCATTTCTCTCTCTCTCTCTCTCTCTCTCTCTCTCTCATATGGGCGGCTTATCTCACGGCCCCGTTTCACTCGCAAAGAGATGTACCGTCTTAAAAATGAGTAATTGCTCCACCAATCCTCAGACATTCAGCAATTCGTCGTGGTATGCTCCTAATCAACCGTCCAATCACGATTTGGGGCAATCTGACCCACTCCTCTTGCAGTGCCACGGCCAATTCTTGTAGTGTTGGCGGTTGACAAGAACCGATAGGAAAGCAAACATGGATAGATAAACCAGCACGCGGCAGTTTTCATCAACCCTTCCTTGAAGTGTCAAATTTGACAATGAACCCCTCCCACGTGTATGGCGCTATTGCGTGTCGCGTGTGCAGCTCAGTGGTTCTGTTGTGGCGATAAGTTCTTCATCTGTGAACATACCCTCAAAGCATGTCAAATGTTCATGGCTATTTATCATATCGCAACCAGCATAGGTATTTGCATTTCAATATCCCCTACTTTTTTTGAAGAGTATATTTACGACTGATTACGAACAAATCATATAGAGGGGTAAAATGACAGTGTCATTTCGGGACTAATATAATATGGTGTATTTTAAATATCAATGCACCATGTTACTTCGGGATGAAACCCATTACTTACATAGATAACAAGAAAAGTCCTACAGCAAAAACTTTTTCCCTTCAGTCGGCCATCCTGTCACTTTATGTAGTCAAGTAAATTAAAAAGGATGATAAAATGATGTCAGGGACAACTACAAAAATGGTGTTTTATTCCACAAACAATAAGAACTTTTTATTTATTTAAAATACTATAGTACAAAACTTTGCAAACTGTATGAACATTTTGATTAGTTAAACATACTCTATGAAAGTAGGAAAGTATTTGCTGACAGTCATTCAAAAACAACGATTTTATACAAAATAGCATAACACAAAGCTAAATATTTGTTAAATGCTGTATTTTAAATTCACTTAGTTAGACAACAAAAAATTAAAAACAATAAAAATTGTGCAAAGGATCAAAGTAAATGATGAAGTAAATGAATCCATTAATTGAATTAACCCTTCTGTGCGTTTTTAGTACTTTGAATATTTCATTTTGATATATAAATTTTGATTATCGGGTTCAGAAACGTGAAAATATTTAAATTGATACCAGTCCTCTGCTTTATTCAGGTCAATCCTCGTACGTCTTAAATGCAAATCGGTGAGCATTTGAGATATTTAAATTTGTTTGAGTTAGCTGCACAGATGTCACATGATCACAATACTTCCGCCATTTAACGCTCGTGATCTACTAAAACAATACCCCCGAAACAATCCAAGTACCAATCTTCCTTAAGGAAGTATTCTTTTGTACCACTTTCTTAATATATTTAAATACAAATTACACAATTATTACTAAATCAGTGTTTTTCAACCTTAACTCTGTACAAAAAAATCATATCAAAATGCATATTATATTATTTCATTCTTTTACTGCTCAATTTGATCAATATCTGTAATCTTTTATACGGTGTTAGCAACAAATATATCTCATTAAATGTGTCTGGAACTTGTGTAAATACTTATGATATGCATATTAATTTGTTTATTGTTTTGTTGTTTATGCACTTACTTCTTCTATATGGGGGGTTGGATGGCAGAATGGTTAGCACATGCGCGCTGTATCATAAAGCCTTTCATTCAGTCAACTGGCGTGGTTTCAAATACTCTTATGCTTACGGTAGATAAATACATAACAAAATAAATATACGTCCAGTTAAAAAATTAACAACTTTTAATATATCATATTATAAGCCCGGCGCCTGTTCGCAATGAACATCTTCAGATGTTTGATAGGCCTATAAAGTAAAAAATGTCATTTTTGGAAGGTAATACCACTAGTTAATGCAATACGTTCAAAAAGCTACGAAAACCTTATGAATGAATTAGTATATAAATACAATGGAATATTTGGTAAAATAAAATGTTCCTCTAACTATTTCGCATGGTTTCAAAAACGTTATCAAGTTTGGTGGACAACTGGAGTCGACTAGCTTCATTCATTTCATCCAGATCAGTTATTATCTAAAAATAAAAGCCAAAATCCAAAATATTACATGGTATTTAAAGTATCAAATTACAGAAAATGAAAATAAATGAAAGTGGGTTTAACGGAATACTTTTCAGCGACAGCTAATTTAATGAAAACAGCACAATAGCGGAGGGGCTTACAACAAGCGTATTTTCAATAGCTAAATTCCAATTGGAAAATACATTACATTAGATGCAATATTTTACCTAAATGATGATTAATAATTGCTTGAATGGATGGAAGATTAATCTCCATTAAAGATGGTTCCGCAAATCATATACATATTTGGAAAAAGCTTTGAATTTTTTGGGGGAAAAGGTAAAACATTTTAAGAATTTTATTAATGTGTATGGTAAAAGAAAGACCGAATAGCTTAATTGGCCAATTTGGGTTTTTGGAGCCTAGATGCCTGTAATATTTTATAATAGATCTGTCTTACTGTTTAACCGAATAGAATATTCTATATAACTGAATAGAATATACCTGTCTCATATAATTATCTATATAACTGAATAGAATATACCTGTCCTATGTAACTGTCTATAACTGAATAGATCTGGTACAATACACTCTGCCTGTTTATTGGAATAGAAGCCGCCTGTGAAATATAATAAAAAATGGAAAATGAACAAATTATTCTGGAATTCATTAAGAAGTGAAGTTAGCTTGACAGTTAATCATCTGATTTTCAGGCGACATTTATAAACCAGAATTATACTTACCACTGTAGGTAGACTTGATAATTCAGCCGAAAGTTCTTGGGAAGAAACGTTTGCACAAATTGTTTTGGATTTAAAGAAACTTCGAACTGTGTCTCTATATTCAATACAGTCTTTCAAAAACATGAGTTTATAGGACGGTGAATTCTGAAATTTATTACAATAATTCATGGTGATTTTTATTAGCTATTTAATATAGAGTGTCTTATATTAAGAGTCTTTTAAGATAACGATCTATACTTGATAACATCTTTACGGCATTATTAGCTGATAACACACCGTACGTGTTTTGACACGCACGGGTCGTACGGTTTGGTAGCTCACAGACTAGCCGCAAGAAACCTCGTGAAAATTTTGTATGTACAGGACCAAAAGTCTCATGCACGAATTCATTAACCTTACTAGCTGTGTTTTAGTGGAAGACATGCAGAATACTGTTAAAATGACATCAGACAGTATAGAGAGAGAGAGAGAGAGAGAGAGAGAGAGAGAGAGAGAGAGAGAGAAATGGGGTTTAACGTCCACTCAACACAAACTAGGTCATTTCGGGACTCTAGCACATGGTTCAATTTTATTTCAAAATTCGCTTGCGCGTAGGGGTCTTTAGCAGTGGGAGGAAACCGGAGGACCCGGAGAAAACCCACGAGGTTGGACAGGCGACCCTACTCCTTGTCACGTACAACCGGGGAATCGAAACCCCGCCAGTTGACTCAATGACAGACCGTATGATACAGCGCGCGCGTGCTAACCATTGGGCCATCCAACCCCCCATCAAACAGTAGAGATAGTGTTTTAAATGGCCTGCCTCCCATGAATCAAGCATAATCGTCATCATGTCAAGGTATTACCCTTCAGTACCTGTACCACGCACCCATCGTGGCCCTCGTTATAATTCTACGGGGATGGTAGTCATTAAAATCAAGATTGTTATTAACATGTATTACCTTGTCAAGCTTCTTTGAAGGTGAAAAACTATCCATATAGGCCAACTGTATAACGTTCAGGTTAGGTTGAACATATTTTTCACTTTCTTTATTTAAATCAAACAACAGTTCAGGTTGTAACAGTAGCTTTGCCCAAAATCTCATTGCAAAACTGTAAAATAAATATTTGAAACTATTCTTCCATTTTCCTACATTACTAAAGGGGCGTTGTTAAATTTGACCACTAGTTTCAGGCTTTACAATGAAATAAATGTCGTGCAAATTTAAATTCGACCTAATACCCCATTCAAATGTTAAAAACAACATAGCCAATTAGTGTAAACTGTGCTTCCGTCGTAAAAAGACCCGCAAGTACTACTATATTTTAAAGTGCCATATATTTGACATTGCCAAAAGGAGATTGTAAGATTGGGTTATGTGAGATATTAAGGGATGCATTTATCTGTAATTAATTAAGGCCGACGAAGTGTACCTTTGTATTTTCCATGATTCTATAGTTGTGATATCCTGATGTTCTTGTAAACCAGCACTTTCTAAGATACTAAATAAATGTCGTACAGGAATAGGTATATCATCTAGACTAAGGATATGTTCTATAACATCATCTATATATTTCTTTAAGCTAACCTGTAAAGATCCCAAATAACCAAATTTCAATCACATCAAAACATAACGTTAGATGGTTATTATTAAACACCATGAAACGCTGAGGCTGGTTTAACGTCCGAATGGTTTAACGTATGCAACATAACAGCTATTACTCCAGTTGTTTAGATACTAAAGGGTTTGTGTAACATGGGGTCAAAGGATCTAATGATAATGATGACTGTGGATTTGACGTGACGTCTTTATTTTAACAATGCAGGAACACACACTAATAGTCATTACATCTATAATTCTAACAGCCAATACAGCACACAAGAACATAACATTGTAGTCATTACGGCCATGGTCCTAATTCACGTCTACCCCCATTGTCACATGCACTCGTTCTTTCTTGTACCGTGTGTTTCTACCCGATATGGTCGGGTGTTCGATCCCTGCATTGGTCGAGAAAGTTCATCTGGATTTTCCGACGTGGTTTCCCCTTGTCAGTGGTGCAGAACGGAGGGCCTGACAAGGACAGCTGTCTAGTCCTTCGGATGAGACGAAAAACCGAGGTCCCGTGTATACATTGGAATGCACGTAAAAGATCCCTTGGCAGTTGGAATTCGATATAAGAGTAGGCGATAGTGCCGCTGCCCGGGCAAAATTTCCCTCATAGCACACTGTATGGCGTATGCCCGTCTTCATTAACCCAACATAGGAGCAGAACAGTAGGACGTTAAACCCCATTTCATTTCATTTCATTTCTACCCGATATCATTTATAACTGTCAAGGTGTTATCAACAACCTTATTAGTATTTAACAACCATTCACAAAGTGTTAGTAGCCTTCATTTATTTAATAATATTGGCGTGATGTATTACCAACTAACTTAATTGATATGTGTGATACGCCTGCCCACACCGTTGTTTTACATTTACATATTGATGACTATACTGGTACTGGTAGTCAACTATAGGGGGGTTCTTGGTGTTCGAGACTACTATACATGTACTGGTGGATTTGGGAGTCTTAAAAATGGAGATTTTATTATCTTTGTTAATACAGCTAATTAATTCGGGGTGAAAGACTCTTGACAACCCGCGCCACTATCTGAAGCTCTTTGATACCTTTTCTGAAAAAATGACAACGTTCAGTCTCCCCAAATTCCTGGCCGTGTAATTGCCTGGATAGCCATCTGGGACTGCCTATTTATTATAACTTTCATGAACTCGCACGTGGAGCCTGTAATTGTAGTAGAGTATTATTTTGACAAAAAATATATTTAAAATATCACTACTTTACCTTTGTCTGTAACAATCTGTTAAAATTCAATTCCGGTAATGCTCTCTTTGTTTTCTGTTTATCCCCACTTCTAACCTACAAAATTTTCGCACTTTTATTACTATGAATATTCGAACAATTAATTTTTGTAGATTGCATAAATTTTAAAAAATAAAGTTTTATAATTTGATTACCGTACCATAAAAATTTGAACCCATTGTGTTTTCCCCGAAACGTTATAACAATATAAAATTTATCCCGGGTAAGATAAAATTCATGTGCATTTGAAAAAAAAGTTCAGAGGAGCAGCTGGTGAAAGTAATACATGTGTAACCATTTAACTGTAACAACCTATAATAATATAAAGTTTACCGTCTTCGATTCTTTATAAAGGGGACTGTGGGGAAGTTAATATTCACATGCATTTGATAAAAATAGGTCAGAGGAGCAGTTGAAAGAAATACACGTATAACCATTTAACTATAACAACCTTTATCACCCAATAATACATTCTACAGTAGATATCGCTTGTGTGATATATTTCATAATCTACTGCGATATCTCCTTAGGAGATATCGCTTTACATGTATTTGATTGGTCAGTTGAAAAGGAACTACTTTTTTTATTTTCAAAGAACAGTTCATTTCTTAAAAGTAACTTTTTTTTTCAAAAATGAACTATTGTTATTCATTGACCTTGATGGAAACACTGGGCCAATTTAAAGGACTTTGCAATGGTTGAATTGCTGTCAAAAAATTATGTATCACTACGCCGTAATGTTCAGTGAAAGTGAAATCTACAGCAAAGAATTGTATTTATCTACTTATGCATGTAAGAAGGGATTGGGTGATAAATAAAATCTCCTACTCGTCTTTTTTGATATCAAAAAATATCAACACTCGTTGATAAAGCAAAAACAAATTCGGCAGAGCCTCGTTTTTTGTTACTTTATCAACTTGTGTTGATATTTTTTGATTTAAAAAAATACTGGTAGGAGATTCTCTATATGTCTCCTTCCTTAGGCAATGGATACAATACGAAATAAACTAAACAAAACTATACAGTTATATGGGACAACAATCACTGGTTTATTATACACAAGCACGACGTTTCGATAAGTATTCTCTTATCGTTATCAAGCACAATGACATTTAGTAAACTTGAGGGTCTATATATATGTATAATGCGAAACCATTCTTATTACTAATCATTAGAAGAGTTCAACCAATAAACAGACATATTTAACATCAAAGATCTGAAAAGCACCGTGTGATGACGAAATAAACTGCAAGATTTTAAAGTTATATAAATTTATATGCCATGATGAATTTACCAGATGAAATGTGGGAAGTTCTAATAATTCTATTGATTCTGTATCTTCCATGGATACCAATTTCTTGGAATCATTGAAACTATCAATGTTAGCTGAAGAAAAGAATGGATTTTACAAAGCTCAAATAAGGAACAATCTGATTAAATTACAGATCTATACTTCGTTTCGTTTTTTATACTTTCGATGGACTCCACTACATGAAGATATGACCGGTTGTAGTGGGAGGTCGTGTCAGGATTTTTACCACATGACGTCAGACATTTCATTAACGAATCAGCATCGATGTTTCTAGTGGGATACCCATAGTTCCGTGCACCGCACGCCATGAACTCGTCGCCACGGACCCTTTCATTGGCTAACCCCTCACATCAACCAGAACGCGGGTTATAACAACTCTTCCAGATCTCAATGCAGTAAAGACAAGTAAAACTAAATTTTCAACTATAATAAAAAGAAACGAAATATGATCCGTGTTTTAATCAGATTGATAAAAGAATTAAAATTGTGTTTAATTTCCAACTTTTCATAACAAAAAGATCATACATTACCTTCTCATTAATAAATAGCTTATTAAAATAGTTTTCTAGTATTAAAGATGCATTATGTAAGAGCTGAATCTACAGCTTTTATTTCTAGCATTAAATATTATATTATTATTTCTTTAAACCTGACATAATACGCCTTTAAATGTGCCCACTGAATATTTACTTTACAATCTAACATTATTTTATAATTTCCACTGTAATATATCTCTCACTCGTTGGTTTTCTGTAAATGAAATGGGGGTTTACCATCCTACTGTTCTGCTCCGACTGGGCTTAGGAAGCCGAACATAAGCTATGCAGTGTGCTATGAGGGAAATTTCAACTGCCTAGGGGACATTAATGTGCACGCTAATGTGTACACGGGTCCTCGATTTTTCGTCCCACTATGTGTTGTACATTGCTAGGTCCTCTGTTCTGCACCACTGAACTTTTTCGGCCAACACCGGTATCTAACACGGGAACTCTCGGTTGGTGAGCCAACGAATTACTCACTGAGCCACCGTGGCTTCTTTCTGTAATGACATACCTGTTGGGATAAAAGGGTTAAAAACAAAATGGGGTTTCTATCACAGGATATTACATATTTCCAATGAAAGCTATAAAAAATACCGTAAACTTCATTATCAGCATCTGCTATTTCTTTTGAGAGAAGGCAAACTGTAGAACCATTTTCAACCCCGTAATGCTTCATTGTATTCAGCTTCCGATAGCCGTTACTGGCTATAGTACTTGACGCATCTTGATCATGTAAAAGTTTACGGGAAGAATCTGGTTGGCACCATTCTGGAAAGAGTAAAATGATATCTAAATATTTGAAAAGTGGGACTTGTAGGCCCGATTGACATATATAACAACCAACCTATTTGGAAACGACTAAACCGGAATGAGCATTAAACATACATTATGTAAGAGCTCAATCTGCTTATTGTATGTCTTTCTTTAGGCCTGAAATGTTATCTAAACTATTAATTAGACATTAATCAACGTATCCAGACCATAACCAACTCTCGATGTCAACGCTAGCCTGCGATATTTGTTGGATTATGATCCGATTTGCTGCATAACTTTCCTTCTCGATTTAACGATTAAATGGATAATCGAGACTATGACTTTTGTCGTACCGACTTTAGTAATGATGACCGAGGCTATGCGGAAATTTCGATCGCTTATTTCTCGGTTCATAGTGGATCAATTTGACTGAAATTTTCAGCAAATTGCCTTTACATTATCTAGTTTTTAACTATTATAGTGAGAACTGCCAACTCGTTATCTAATCTCCCATAATGTATCTTTAATATACTCGCCAAGATACCGTCTATCAGTGTATTATTTTTGGTCCTGTATCCTCGCCATTCTTTTTGTACTCACACGACTCAATTCTTTTTATATAACAATGTTATAATAAATATTTATAATAAATATACCTAAATCTATTTCCTCCACTCCAGGCCTATCAGATGTTGTTTCGGCTTTATATGTTGCATTTAAACATTTGTTCTTAACTTGAGTAATGGTATCACAGTCAAGTACTCGACAGGTTGTTTCAAATTTACCATTATTTATAAAAACAGTCAAATTCTGTAATAAAGTAATACCGAAAAATTAGGCGTTACATAAACAACAGAGAAATGTTTGATAGGACTTCGTGGTATAAACTGCTATATTAGTTTATATAAACTGCTTATTCTTTATGCCTTGTTGTTTTACTGATAGGATTTGAAAATGTATTTTAATCGGATTTAACGTTCTACTGTTCCACTCCGACAGAGTTAATGAGGATGGACATTTGCCATGAGGGAAAATTTGCCCGGACAGTGGCGCCACGGTCTACAATTATATCCATTTCCAACTGCCAAGGGATCTTTTACGTACAGGCCAACGTCTACACGGGACCTCGATTTTTCGTCCAATCCGAATAACTATACGTTGTCCCTTGCATGGCCCTCTGTCCTGCACCACTGACAAGGGAAACCACGGCCAAAAATCCCAATGAACCTTCTCGGTTAACACCGGGATGAAAACATGGGAACTCCAGGTTAGCGAGCCAACGTCTTATACACATTTGTGTTTATTTTATTACTATGATGTATCTGAATTATTAAATATAACGTTGACGTTATTGAAACATTTCTAAATAAAAGTTTTCCGGTTTTTGTTCTGTGAATTCTCACAAACGTATTGCGGCACCACATTTGACTGCATATCAACATAGTCTAAATTAGTTTCATACCAGTACTTCCGGTTCAAAATCAATCACCAGCAAATTATGTTGACATAGGGTTGCACATGCTTGATGAGTGACCGCATCGATAGCACATTTTTGGGACAGGATTTCAATAGCCTTATATAACATAAACAACACAGAACCAGATCGTTTCTATAATAAGAAAATAAAATACTTTACATTAATTAATAATTAACAATTAGTGTCTGTCAATGGGGTTACTGGTCCCAGATACGATAATAACAAATTATTTATGGGAGTGCGTGAGGTGGGATGGCGTAGGTTGGTGCTCTATTCAAGGGCGGATTGGGCCATAGGGCGATCCCGAAGGGCCGGTCGGACAAAAAATGAAAAAAATAATTTTGTCCAATTCGTCTAAAAAACCTTTTTTCTGCTAAACATTATATGGGGACCGGCCATTGAGCGATGATGATCATGTTGTATGTGGCCGGTGGCTTTAACGGGTCGCCATGCCATCACCGGAGTCTGGAATGGGCTGGTATAATAGACTTTCTGGGCCGGGTGTGATGGATGTGGGCCGGAATTCGGAATCTTGCAATGGGGATTCCGAATTTCATCCGAAAATTTCATCGGATTCACCCGACACTGTCGCCCGCAAATTTACTAATTATTAAGTCACCTGCACCCTGTTTGTGGGGATACGCCAGAAACGTCTGCCAATGGTTCGTATATCCCCCAAAAAAATCAGTTTTAAGGCTTCAGCAAAATTTGGTGATAGCTGGTTTGCTGGCTGAATTTGACAGAGATTATAATCAGATATGCAACCAAATCGCATATTTGGGGTTAATTTTTCAAAATTTTCCCGGTGGAGAGCACCCGGACCCCCCGGCCAGTAAAAGGGGCCGCTCCGACACGGGAGCACGGGCCCGGTTCCCGGCCCCAATCCGCCCCTGACTCTAATGCCATAAAATTATTTGCCATCCAGATGAAGATTTCTGTTTTAAATGTTTCATTTTAAACCAATTAAGTTCAGGCATCAATATAATTAAATATTTCAGTAATTTGCCTCTTTAAAATGACTTATTAAATTACTTTTAGGGAATTATATAATTAAATATCACACTAATTTGCCTCTTAAAAATAACTTTTTTAATTACCTTTAAGGGGTTATACATACAAACCGCTAACCAGTTGACAACTAATTTTTCTGTGACTGTCTCGCACCTATACAGAATCACATAAAATGAACGGATAGATATTGTTACATTAATTATCGCTAATATATAAAAAGAAATCTATAGATATTACATGAATATCAATTGTGTTATTCTCAAAGGAAATTAAATGAAATGGGGTTTAACGTCCTTCTCCTCTGCACCAACTAGGCTAATGAAGAATGGAATACGCCATAGTGTCCTATGAGGAACATTTAGCCTGGACAGCGAGCGGCGCTACAGCCTATTTTTATATGGAATTCCAACTGTCAATATTCCCAAAGGACAAAAGACATTTGGATCAAACGAATTACCGGAGAATTGGTTAAATTCAGAATATTTAGTGATTAGAGATAACGATATACAAATATTTCGTTAATATATCACTAATATTTATTTTTTTAATTTATTCAGATGCAAAGCTATTCACGTCCATACTATCTGTCAATTTCAACTGATTTTCTTTTTATGTACATGGAGTTTCAACAATATTTTGTTCGTCTATATTTCTATGTAGTAATTATTTACCATCGATGGATCCTACTTACCGTTTAAATAAATTGTGTTGCTGTTTTGTAACTACGCTTTCTCGAATTAACTTTGGTAACAACATTTCAACTATTCTAAAAGTAACAAACCTTTATTAGTAATCGAAATACCAGTAACTGTAACACCAACCTGTATAACTCTGAATTTCTTCAATGACGTGGTAAACCAAACAATCAGCGCATGTATTAAAACAAAGCCCGAAAAATGTCACCTGTGCAGCAACCATAAGATTTCAAAAAGAGGGACAGAAAGGCCATAAATATCTAAATTTTTGATATTTTGTAAAATTCGCCGGGCAACGTTTGGAGGGAAGACAATAACTCACACCTGGTTAAAACAATCAAAAAATTTTAAAAAGTTTCCATGGTTGGCAGAATGGTTACGACAACTGTAGAGAGAGAAATGGGGTTTAACGTCCATTCGACACAAACTAGGTCATTTCGGGACTAACATATGGTTTTAATTTTATTTCAATAATTCGCTTGCGCGTATGTTCTTTAGCAGTGGGAGGAAACCGGAGGACCAGGAGAAAACCCACGAGGTTGGATAGGCGACCCTACTCCTTGTCACGTATAACCGGGGAATTTACCCCCCCCCCCGCCCGTTCAACATCAACAGGCGGATAAGGTTATCCTACAAACAGTCCGTGTAACTTTCCTAACACCTTCGGCGGTAATACTATATACCGGTCTTTAGCAGTGGGAGGAAACCGGAGGACCCGGAGAAGACCCACGAGGTTGGACAGGCGACCCTCCTCCTTGTCACGTACAACCGGGGATTCGAAACCACGCCAGTTGACTCAATGACAGGCCTTATGATACAGCGCGCACGTGCTAACCACTTGACCATCCAACCCGCCGATCATCGACGGACTGGCTGGGATACAGAAACAACTTCCAGTAGTACAGCGCATCTAAAAGATATTTTTCTGATGTCAAATCTTTCCTTTATCTTCATATCAACCATTATTTTATATTATGTATGAATAAAAATACGTACTCTGTAAAATAGTCCATTCTATTTATCAGTAGTAATGTTAGATAACCAGCCACATCAGACCTATAAATACATACATACAACAATATGTTAAACGTAGATTTGGTTTTCAGGTCCATTAATAACCCCGCCAGCAACAAGATTGTCGGTCTTAGCTCTAAAATCATTGTCATCAAACCATGCTCAACAAGTTTAATAATCCCCTTCTTAATCGTGTAGTATATAGTGGTATGCAGAGGTTTCATCGTTTAGAACATTGTCTCCACCCCTACAAATTCCAACACAATCATAGTGCAGCTCTGCGATTTTAAGATAACAGGGGGCTCATTTGTGTACATATTCCGGTCGTAACCCTATGGCGCCACCAAGCCCGCCAACACTGCGCATGTCACTGCCTTTATCATATCAGTTTACAAGGCTGAATTTCGAAAATGTATGTAATACCAGGCTAAACTATAACAGGGGGATCAGAAATTTTCGAATGTCGATGGGGTACTTCCTTATAATCCAATAAAGTTTCTTAGCAGTTAAAATGTAAATAGAAAGTTTAAAATGATTTCCTTTCGAACTTTGTCCCGTATCGCGTTGTACACGATTTCAGAAAGTTGAATCCATAAGGGAACCATTCGTAATTGGCTGGCCTACCAATCTCAGAAAAAAATAATGATACACATTTTGGACAGCTCTTTTTTATTGCTATTGGATATACTAACCTGTCTTGAAATTTAAATTTTCTTTGACTATCCAGAGTTCGTATAAGTGAAGCCAGGAAAAATTTGTTACTGATAAGCTGATCTAATTTGATCATACTGGCGGCCATGTCTTGTTCTGTACCTTCATGATTCTGCAATAAAAATCATATAACATCAACATAAACACAACCGATCGTAACACATCTTGTAAAATATTTTTTACATGGTACAACTTATCATTCAATTCGAAAGTTTACATAGAGAACAGTATGGTTGTTTTACCATAATTTTAGCTTAGATTTGAGTTTAGAAGAACGAGTTTTAACGACGGAGGATGCACATTAAATCCACGTATTACATTAATCGGTCACAGCGAGAAAAGATCACTTCTTTGTCTCCTTAGTGACATCTGCAGCTTAGGACATAATTTACTTGGTAATCTCCGGTAACTTTAAGCGTATTTTAAATTTAGGACTGGATAATGAAAATAACGAGCAGAATGAAAACCAATTGTTCAAAGCTAATTTGCATAAATACCGTGTCAGTCTTCATCGTGCCCGGAAAATTGTCCAACGGAATGTCGGCATGTTCACCAAAGATTGCAAAGCCCAAGCACCTTTGATACCTTGTAGACAGATGTGTCAAAGTGATAACCCAATCTAAATACTAGATTGAATTTGGTAATAGCGGCACCGAATGGACAAATCGCAGCGGTTTACATGCAGTAATGCATAAAAAAATCACTGTTTCTTATTTATTTTAGTTAGACAAATATTAAATAGTAGTACCAACCTGTAAATCAGTCAGTGCTGTATGTGATTTGATATTCTCAGCAGAACATTGTGGAAATACAAATTGAAATACATATGTAAACAAATTATTAAATGGAATTCCAAGTTCTACTAATTCAGCAGTAATATCTGTCATATCTGTCTGTAAATCAGCAAAAACTGTAAAAGATGTATGTTTAAAAATGAAAAAGCACACATGTCAACAAGAGGTCATTAATTAACGTGTCCATGGTGCATCGGCATAGTATCGCTAGTTGATAGAAACACATGATCCATTTAACACATTTCGAAATAGGGCATCTGATCACCAATTACTGTATAAAGATAAACGAACAAGGTGGCAAGACTGAAATTAGCATCCTTGATATACGGTTATAGCTTTAAAATGACCTTGCAGGATGCGATTTACGAACCATTCCGCCCCCAATTTACATTTGAGATATGGTTTTGCATATCTATAACCTAGCTTTCCCTGTCGGTTACTTATTTGCAAGACCTTGAACCCTATTGACCAAAACAACGCTCTTATAGGTCTTTAATCAGTAGGACCCTTAATTATCCATTTTAGAATTGATCCATACCTTCTCGACATTGCTCAATTACTTCCATTTCTGTTTTTTCAATCCTTTCTCTAAATTTTGTTTTATTCCTTTTAGATACATATTTAAATACAATAACTGCTACAATAACCACAGCTACTAATATACCAATAATAATATATAACGTTGGGTCTGGACCTGGTTCAAAATATCTCAAATAGCCAACGACTACTACCAAGTTACCAACCGTTACCTGCAGAATAATAATAAGATAAAATACAACAGTTAACTAAGCCCTAAAGAACAAGAAAGTTTAAATGGCGAAATATAATTCAAGCGAGAAGAACGGGTTGGAAATGGGGGTGGTGTAGCTGTTAAAGATTACCCGAAACGTCAGCAAAAACATAGAATTAATTTTTCCATGCAACGTCAATAAAAGCGTAGGGGTGGTGGTGTTTGCGGATATATTTGAGGTTTGCAATACATTTCTTCTGTATGCCCGACGTGAAAAACCCCACCAATAGTGTTTAAAATTTTTTGTATAACCCAAAGGAGAAACCTGCAAATTTGCAACGACACGGTACATCTACGACAAAACAATAAATATAATACAACTAAATACCGTGAATTAATAACTATATGGTTAAATGAAATCCATCGTACTTTTAGATAATAAATTAATTATTATTAATTAATTCACAACACGACACAACACAAGGTATGATTAACCATACTCAAATTAATGTCGCGGTAATTAGTATAACAGCAAAAAAAAAGATATAATATATAATGGTAAACCCATTTCGACAAGATTTAATTTCATTTGACGATGTTTAATGAAATACCTGAACTTCTGGGCCTGGTGATGTTTCATTGTGTTTGTCTGGTTCTTGTTCAGGCGCCTGACATTTTAGTTCTGTGCTTGATAATCTGACAAATACAAGACAATCGGCTGTTCCCACTGATACAGTGTAATCATCTGCCCCAACAGCCTCATTTAATCGGCTTCCCTAAAATGATACAAATAATTAATTGTATGTGTGTGGGTATGGGTGTGTGTGTGGGTGTGTGTGTGTGTGAGAGAAAGATGGGGAGGGGGGAGAGGTTGAAGGAGAAAGAGCTTAACACAACACAAACTAAATTATTTCAGGACTAACATAGAATATACGAGGTTAGAGAAGCCACCTACCTAATTGTAACGCACAAGCCTCGGATCGAAACCCAATTGATGTCTAAATTGATTACATAGTTCTAAATAAGAAACTAATTTCTTACCAGACCAAGGTGACCCCATTATCATCAAATCAAGAAATACATACAAATCGTATACTTTACAATCCATTTCCTATCCAAATGCGACCATTATCCAATTGTATTTGCTTTACAAATATTAATATTTAACGGGAAAGTGAAACGTAAAAGTCATAACTTACTTTTATAATGATATTTCTATTTTTTTATTTAGACGTTAAAAAACATTGGCAATGCTTTTTTTAACATTTAAATATTAGTTATAACTTACTTTTATAACGATAATTCTATTTCTCTCGGACAATATTCGAATGTTGTTCGCTTCTTCGAATTCATAGATCAAGGGGTCCTCGACATAAGTAAAATTAACTTGCATCTGAACTCCATCCATCTTAATTACTAGTGGGTGAGTTTGGTCAACCTCACGTTTTCGCCGTTCTTTAGAAGCGACTGTTTGTATTGGTGGTGGTGATTTTGTTTGCGGTGATAAATTTTGAGGTGCTGGACAAATCATAAAACTACCATTTCTATTTTCAAAACAATCCTAGAAAACAAAAATGATTGTAATAGTAAAAGTATTGTAATTTTGGCCTTTTATTCAAGTCACGAATGTTCCCCATGTGACGTATATTGACGAACACTAGAACATTGAATATACTGGGAATAATTATCCCGTATGAAATAATTATTTTTCTCCAGAAAATTAGTCACACATTAATGTACTTTTTGAAACGTTATCTACACTCAATTACGTATAAACTAGATTACAGTGTTTTGTCCGGGGAGTCACGATGCAAGTGCTATATTACCATTTTGTGTCGTGATAAATAACGAAATAATCTATGAACTGATTTATTTTGGTTAGGCTTGACACAAGCCTCTGCAACACGAGGGCTTGGGATTGCGAAAGACAGAATTCAGGTTTAAGTTAAATCGCAATAATTCTGCGAGACTGACTTTTGAAATTTAAAATTGTACACGTAAGGCATGTTATTAGTTGAAAGCAGCCTTGAGTACAGGTAATGTTTACCGAAAAAGAAAAGTCAAAATTCTGATGTTAAAACGCTATAATCCTGCAAGCTACCAATGATCTTTGTCATTCTGTTTTTGATTTTCATATTAATGTTCTAAATTGCATGAAAGGTACATGCAATTAGATGACAATTGTGATTGTTTTGAGTTACATATATACTTACCAGAAATTTCGGAGATCCCACAATACCAATTTGCGGTTGTTGAATGGAATCAAAACCGTTACCAACCACTGTTATGTTAACTCCGCCACTAAACAATAACATGTAATCAATAATTTACATTAATAACTCTATATAATTATGTTTGTAAAGCGCATCCCGGCAGTTTTCGCGAAAGGGGACTTATAATAAGAGTAACAAAACATTATAATCAGCGTATCATCATTATAATTGCATTATCGTAATCATTATCATCGTCATCATCATCATCATCATCATCATCATCGTAACTAGTGTAATAACTACTATAACTAGTAGATTTTTTATTTCAGTGTTAGTAAAGACAAAGATGAAGAAATTATTCATGCCCCTTTGATACATTTGAAAACAGAGCAAAAATGTTGATTATGGAAGCGTTTAAACAGAATATTTTTAATTAAAGCTGGTCGGCTTTAAATGATGGACTAGTGATGTTGCCTACCTTGCAATTGTTTTGTTAGGTTGGATATAGCCCAATTCAGGATTAGGAACGTAGGAGAACGTACTATTCAAATTAAACGTCTTACAATTACAAGTCACTTTAACAGTAAGGTTATCTGCTAGTTCTTCTCCTTCAGTTGTTTTACATAATATGATATCCATATAAGAGCTGAAACAATATTTTAATAACGAATAAATTGACTTGTTTTGGCATTTTATTCCAACCATTCAGCTGGGAGTTAAAACGCCTTGTGGAAGCGGACGTTAAGCCCAACGAACGAAAAAACAAAAGAACGAGCGAACAAGTATAAACGTTCAGTGTTGAATACACCTCCGCATCATTTTTTCTTCGATTACGTTTGACCCAGCATAGGACTTAAAACATGTTTATCTATGCAATCATAATGGCGTAAAAGTTTGAGGCTTACAGTGAACTTAAAATGGAACGGCAAATGAAATTATTTCCAACCAAAAGTCCTACATAGCGCCAGGACTAATACTAAACCTGAGACTACTCTTTAAACATATGACATTGTTCCTGTTCCATATTGTATCTTAAGTATCAAGAAATGGCTTCACTGACAATGTAGGCTACTGTGTCAGATGGAACTATATATATATATATCCAAAACCTTTAAAAAAATATCGTCCCGAAAGTATTTATCGGTGGTATGGCAATTTGGTATATATGGAAAGTAGTACAGATGCCCAATCTTACTTGAAAACATATTAGATTACCCGAAAAACAACCACGGGGAAAGCACTTGGCAAGCATGTCGGGGTATCAATAACTGGCAACCCGACTGTTGTCTGCCAGCTTATTGCGTGTTATCTTGATTGAGGAGCGTTTGTTATTTCTTGGTCAAATGGTTAGGCGGTTTTGCGAATATTGATGGGTGTCAAGGAACACAATACTCTGCAATTAAATGGCGGAAAAGGAGTTGACAGACAATAATTAAAAGTGTGTATCACAAATGCACAGTAAGTAAAATGGATAATAAATTCTGAACTCAGGGAAAAACATGGCTTGAGACAACAGATTTTGTTATAGTATAGCAAATGTTTGATAGATTAATTAATTTGAATATGTTTTGGTCCAAATATATCATCGAATCACAAAGTTTATACGCGGGCATGTATCTTTAAATATCATCTGATTCCGTAACTGTGCTCCTTTTCCCTTAGTTTGTCATTGCTTTTAGTCCATTCAGAATCTGTGCTATCTTTAAGCTTCACATGTACGATTTTATAATAATAGTTTGGGCAACACAATAATTGGACGACTTACGTATCAATATCTGTACATTTAAACTTATCTCCTATTTTTACAGTGATCTCATCGTTTGTGGCATTATCACAATCAGCTCCAGTGATGTTGAGTTTTGTTCCCCCGGCTACAGGTCCTTTATTAAATGGTATATTAGCGGAAGACATTGGAACCTATAATAAAGTAAAGATCAACGCGGTTATCTTTATTTACACGAGTTAGAGATCGCTGATAAATCAGTATGTAGAAATAAATCTTATTAATGGAAGTTAAGCAATTTAATGTCCGTATTTTGCATACAAAATATATTAAGAATTACCTCAGAAGGTGGCATACAGATTTTATCTACATCAAAACATGAGTTATTACATGGACACCATGTACAATTTGCTTCAATTACATTTCCGCAACTGGTCCTGAAACACGAAATAACAAATTGAACTTTGATTATTGATTGTAGTCAATTATAATGGATAAACTTTAATAGCCTAATTCGAGTCCCAGAAACTTTTTTTTATCCATATTACATTGACATTATTTATAAATAGCTCAAAGACGGGCGGCCCGAGACAGTTCATCGGCATTTTCCGGCGTTGTCCCCCCTTGTCATTGGCACAGGACAGAGGGCCTTTCACGGGACAACGTATAATCGTTCGGATTGGACGAAAAACCGAGGTCCCGTGTATACTTTGGTGTGCACCTAAAAGATCCCTTAGCTGAATTCGATATAAGAGTAGGCTGTAGCGCCGCTGTTTTGGAAAAATTATAAAAAATTGTTATAATCTTACAGGAGCTAAATCGGTTTGATTTGATGTACTATTTTCATTAGTGATGGGACTGAATTTATAGGGTTAAATTTTTGTTTTGAAATATAAAACAGAAGTCAATTTTAATTTCGTTTTTGGCTTAAAATGTCGATAGCGGAATGAACCAACTAAACATAGACTTATACCCACAACGCAAAACAAACAATCAAACTTAAAATTGTTTTATATAAATCATAGAGGAAAATATAGAAACAGAAATGAAATGAAATGGGGTTTAACATCCTACTGTTCTGCTCCGACTGGGCTAATGTAGACGGTCATACGTTATACAGCCACTATGGCCTACTTTTATATCGAATTCCAACTGCCAATGGATCTTTTACGTGCACGTCAATGTATACACGGGACCTTGATGCTTCGTCTCATCCGAATGACTAGACAGGTGTCCATGTCAGGCTCTCCGTCCTGCACCATTGATAATGGGACACCACGTCTGAAAATCAAGATGAACTTTCTCGGCCAGTGCAGGCAATATAAAAACAGATGTTACTGATAATCAAAATACTTTGTACAATAGATTTCACTCACTCGTTCCGTGTACTGCAGTTGTAATAATAGATGGTTTGTTCAGCAACATTAGATTTGTTTCCATCACTTTGAACCCATTCCAAAACAACTGACTGGTTTATAATTCCAGTGTCTATAAAGGGAGGTAAATGATATAATGTATGACATCAAGAATACTAAAATAATAACTTTTCAAACTTTTCATCGATCTTAAAGGGCAATCTAATTAAGGTCTAAAATTGCAAAATGACAAATCCTTATACAACAGTATATACCTTTACCACCAGAATGTGTCGATTCGACAGACTTTCTTGTAGCAAAATAGTATTATCTCGAGCTTATTTCGCCCTAATACACGAGAAACCCAATAAACGACCAATCTATTTTAGAGTATTACGAAAGTGTTCTAATATCTCTGTAAAAGATGACTGCTTTCAACACATGATCTGAATGGCACCTTTTACTCATTTGAATACCCATTTACACTAAAATAGGAAATAATTTTTACCTACAAATATTTCAAACGTCTTTATTTATTTTTCTAATACCCTATTATTTAGAATTTAATTTCTCAGAGGAAAAAAGGTTAATATTTATGGGACATTAAGTAGCATCGATGTCATCCTTATCAGTGATTGTCGCGGCCTAGCGAATATTCACTAGTGATCAGTGTGGCTTACGACTAGCGGTAAGTATAGATACTGATAAAAAATATACATCTGGTTGGTCGAGATGGTAACTTCGCGCACGTAGTCGACAGCATAACTGACCAGCAATGCGAACTGAATCGGTTTTCCCCTACACTGAACGTTAATAAAAATCGAATTCAAAATGTGACCTCTGGTGGGTTCACAAGATATTTACGCAATTTTCGCACAATCAGGAGCAATAATCCAAGAAGTTACTGTTCGATATATGGCGAGCATGACTTGTATCTCCACTTGTTCTAGGAGAGTGTTTGAATTTTCATTTTCTGCCAAGTTTTGGTTGATATTCATGATTAAATTTTTGGGTCGGAAGGATCAGGATGTAATTATAAACAGACATGAATTCGGGTGATGGCCTATCTCTTTCAATGTGCTTATAACATGAGAAAACTCTATTCAATAAACGTCACAGACTCGATTATTTAACGTACAAGACTAAGTGTGGATTTTGACTGGTTGATAGAATGTACAAGGTCAATGGCCATGTCGCGTCCATTGATATCACCCTACTTGTCTGGCAAGAGGTAGAAAATAGGCATTTTTGCCAAAACCATGTATAAATTACTTGATAACCATGTCTCATATTTCTGGTGGAAGCCGTTGTTGAAAACTACAATGATCTTATAGAGAACAGGCAAATAAAATTTGTGGGCATAACGGAGTTGGTGTCAGAGAAAGTTACAGAGAAATGTGCAAGGCGTAAAAAATCTGTCTAAGACGAGTTATTTGCCACTGAAATTGATATGTGAAGAACTACTATAGACTACGAAGGTATAATAAATAGATGCTTAGCCTCGATTTAATGTTATTTTGGAAAGAGATTTTCCAGGTTATAAGCACACCTGTGAAAACACGTGCTACATTTACCTCCAAGATCAGGAACAGTGCATGCTAATAAGACATTTTCTTTGACAGCAGGGAAACTTTTATTTTTCCCATAAACACAGGTGAAGGTGCCATTTTCCTCCAAACAAGTCGTGTTGAATATTATCTTAAAGAAGAAATAGTGTTATTATTAAATATAATATGTACCTGAAATGTCTAGATAACTTAATGGAATAATTGAACATTAAAAGTCATATGAAAAGATATATTAATGTACCTAATTTGTATTTATTCTGGTAGTTTAACTGAAAATAAATCATATTATTTTATCAATATAAGTTATCCACCCTCATACCCTTGATTAACCTTTCATGGAATAGCTTTCTTTTTTTTGTGAAATATTTATTCAATTTAAAAGTCTTATAACAATTGTATATAGAGTAGTTTAACGTTTGATGTAAACTATTTCCATTCATTGTTTTTAATATACTATGTGAATAAACATGTGAATCTACTACACCGTTTTCACAACAGTGGTCCCTTAAGTGTAATACTATCTTCGTTATATGTGAAAAAAATTTGTTATTCTTTGTAAATATTTAATTAAAGACACTCATATAGTGTGTTTTAATATATGTAAGCTGGTCCATTAACTAAGGATTTAAACATATTTTCAGCATATATGATAATTCCAGAGTCTAGAAGGACATGCCCCCTTTTTGTAAATAGATAGTCTTGTTCATAAAATAACGCTCTATATCAGACACTGGGGCAAGTATTTCTAGTATTAAGTACTGTTCCAGATCTTTGACAGAGAAACCTAGCGGTCTTAAGTCAATGAATATACTTCGAAATATATCAACTAAATATTCTTTATATGGACAACTAAATAACATATGGCAAGTTATTTCAACTTCATTTTTACATAGAGGACAAAGATCATCTTCCGTTATCGATCCTGTAGAGTTTATCGGTGTGTTCCCACTTAGCCGGCAGACTTTTAACCCTTTGATTGATCTTAAAACTATAGTCTGTTTAAAAGTAGTCACTCAAGAACTGTTCACTAGTGTTCAGCGTTAATGAGCTCTTAATCCCTCTTAATAAAATTTATCAACCAACCAACAGTTCATGCCGGCGTTATGATTTCAAACATAAATTCAAATCACTATATTAATTTTTATAGATTGTCGATCTGTGTCGAAATTATATTTATTTTAAAATGGCAAACGTTCAGGTTGATATTCGCTTTATCTCCAATAATCGAGGTGGCCGATATTTAATACACAATGGTTACAAGTTCAGTATTTAATAAAAGTTAAATGTGTAAATTGTAATGCATTTTTATATGTGTAAATCATTTAATGTTATTTAATAAATATTAAATTTGTTAAAATCAATATATTTTTTATATGTGTAAGCTATTTAATGTTATTTAATAAAAGTTAAATTTGTTAAAATCAATACAGTTTTAGTCTTAAAAAAGATATGAACTATAGTTTATAACACCATTGTTCTAGGATTAACTCTGGATTAGCGGCAAAATTTGACATCAAAGCCTGTCGGCTAAGTGGGAACACCCCGAGTTTATCATTCATGGATACAATGCTATGAATAATTCTGAAATCGCATTAGTATGTTTATATGGTAAAAGGAAACAATTCCAATAGTGAAATAGTGAAATACTTAATACTCCCCCAATTGGCATACATTTTACTGAGCATCAATAGCGATAAAAAGGTTGCGATCTACAGAACGGGACATCTGAGTACATTAATTATTAACAATTTTAAAAACATAGTATTTTAAAATGTTAAATGGAATTTAACCATTTTATTATGATAATATCAGTACACATGAGTCGATATGGCTAAAAAATATCGAATCGATTGTAACCCCTAATAAAGACTGTTCTATCAACAACAGATATAAGAAACCCTAAAACTAGAAATGTAAATTTTACCAGCTCAGTAGTATTTTCTCCCATTTTGAAAGATGTCTTAGAAAATACCCTTGGATATTTTTCGATACTTGGAAGCCAATACGGTCTTTCGCATTCGGAATAAACAGCACACCTACAATTTTAAATGAGATACAAGATATAATTCCTTATCATACGTAATTTACATCTTAACCCGGTGGAGGGCAAAACTGTATTAACATACTTTTAAGCCAATTATATGACGGATGGATAAATAAATTAAATGGCACTGGGAATATAAACATAACTTACCAAGCAAGGTAGCATAAATCCACCCTGCAACCTCGTCGTCCGGGTAATACACGCCTTATCAAGTGTTTATGTCCTTGTTTTAATTTAGCATAATGTTTTTAGTTTAGGCGTTTAAATACCGTAATAAATGGCCACAATTCAAATTTTGGCAAGACTTGCAATCATCGTATCAACCAGGGGACATAACCCAGGAAGCACTATTGTGGATGGGTTGGGATCATATTTAGCCCAATATTAACTATTTCTGAAATTTTTCATGAAAATCAGCCAAGAATTGAACTCTGTAGTGTGGGTGTGGGTATTGTTATTACCAATTCTGAAACAACGTTTTCGAAAATGCTGGTAGGGACCAAATTCCCGAAACTTGGATGAGAATCGATGAGGAATCGAATACTGTAAAGTACTAAACATCTCCCATAACTCTCGAATTCTTTTTTTTGCGAAAAAGTTCAACGATAGTGATCATTTTTACCACAATCCTGACCAGTCTTAAAATTTTGAACAATGGACTGGGGTAATGAGAATTTACAACCACATTATCAATTTATCCTTGGCTAGCCTGATAAAAAAATTGCTGAATTAAACAAAAAACACACAAAAAATAACAAGAAAAAAATCTTGTTTTTACATAATATGCAGAACTATCCTCATAATCAAAGGTAAATATTAGCCCCCCACTTATTGAACCCTTCCACTGATGATGTCAGTAGTTTTGTTTTTAGGTGCTGATTGGCTGACGTGTCTAGTCAACGCGAACATGGTAAATGTCGAGTATTAATAAAACAGTTCATTTAAAGATACATTATAGGAGATTAAATAAAGAGCTGACAGTTCTCACTATAATAGTTAAAAACTAGATAATGTAAAGGGAATTTGTTGAAAATTTCAGAGAAATTGATCCACTCTGAACCGAGATTTTAGCGATGAATATTGGGGCTAGCCTCGACCATCATTACTAAAGTCGGTAGGATAAAAAACATAGTCTCGATTATCCAGTTTTTGATTTAATTATAAATAGAAGTCTAACATCAAATCAGACCCTAATCCAATAAACCTCGCAGGCTAGCGATGCCATCGAGAGTTGATTGTGGTCTGGATAATTAATTTCTAATAAATAATTTAGAAAACATTTCAGGCTTAAAGAAAGATCTGCAATAGGCAGATTTAGCTCTTGCATAATGTATGTTTAATACACTAATTGGACGCAACGTCTTATAATAACCATTAAATTGTCACATTAAAAGACAATATTATTGTCAGTCATTATTACATATGTGATAGAACTGGTTAAATATATTCAAAATATAATTTTAACACAGAGATCATTGCTACGGGAGACGTGTAACAAGCACGTGAAAAAACGGGAAGGACAACTCGTGTTTGTCATGTTTGACGTCACTTCCCGTTTCTTTGCGTGCTTGTTACACATCACCCGTAACAATGATCTCTGTGTTAAAATTGTATTTGGGATGTATTTAACGAGCTCTATCACATATTTTATAATGACTGACACCAATATTGTCCTTTACCTGTTATGAAAACCAATATCTAAATGATGACAGGAGTGATAGTGTGGGGAATTTAACCCTTGTCTAGTGAACAACTTTTTGTTTATCTATTAACGAAATTTCGGTCGTTATTGAAATATACATGTATAAGAATTACCTGTTATACTTTATACACCAGCCACACAATGCAAGCCCGGCTTCATTTTTTAAGCAATCCTCCCATGATTTATTAGTGCAGTTATCTTCACTTAGAAATTTTACCTAAAGCAAAAACAAAACAGAGAAACTCTCTGGTAAAATATACTATGGGAAAGCGTCCATAGTAGTAGGAGACACAATAGGTAAATAATTAATAGGGACCAGTATATGGTACTTCCATTACTTCCATTAATTAAAAAGGCTGATACTCACCCAGTCACCCGTCACAGCAACAATGCCATTATTTACAAATTTTATTTCAAGAATAGATGAGTTAAGTTTCAAGTGAAGCTGAACACCATTGTACTCTGTGGTATTAGTTGTTGTGAAACTCTGAAAATTATAATTATAAAATCAGTTTTCACTATTGAAATAGTATTCCAATGTTTAAACGTTTCTAAGGATTCGTAATTTAATCCAAATACTCGGGAAACAAGCTATACATAGACACATCATACTCGACAATACATATTATAATAAAAAAATTATATAACATGAGCAGTTTAGAACAAACGTATTGAGATAAGACCTTTTTACGCTGAATTGCAGAAATATTGTGGCAGTTTTTTGATCCCCATCTTTGATCAATAGAGTATTAGACAATTTGTATTATATATTTTTTATTGTATGTCAACTTTCATTATAATCATATTTATATATTTTTGTACCTTGACATTTATTATTAATATATATATATATATATATATGGCCATATAATAAATGGCCATATTCAATTCATTCAGTGTGTTGTTGTGCTTTGATCAAACTGAGCAAGATACATGTACTGTGTTGGCAAAAAATTCTGAACAATACCAAATGGCCACGGTCTTAGCTATAGGGCACTGCACTCCTAAACTACATGGGCATTATATCTGAACAACTTGTTTTTATACAAACATCGTTCTCAGTGGGCATTAAATCTGAACAATTTGTGTTTATACAGACTTCGTTCCTAGTGGGCATTATATCTGAACTTGTGTTTATACAGACATCGTTCCAAGTGGGCATTAAATCTGAACAACGTATATGTGTATGCAGACATCTTTCCTGGTGGGCAATCAATCTGGACACTTTATGTGTATTCAAGCATCTTTAATTATCGTTTTGTGTTTAGCGTCAACATCAAATCTACCTACATATGGTTTCAAACCTTTCGAACAGTAACTCCAGAGACTCAAAGAACAATAAACAATCGAAAAACAAAACTTTGTTGATGTAATTCCGTATTTACTCTTTTAAATTTTATATTTTTACAGATGAAAACAAAATCCCACCCCACCCCAAAGCAAAAAGGCCACCAGATAAAAACATACCTCGTTCCAAGAAAAAGATAAAAAAAACCCCACAAAAACAAACCCAAATCAACGAAAGCAAAACGGTACTTCATCATGGCTCGAAATCAACCGATTAACACAGCAATGGAGAGGTGCAGATGCTCTCGAAGAGCATATAGCTTCCAGACACCAGCTGAACCATAATAACATTTTGATATATAGTTACCCTGGATATTGTTCCATTTGCAAATCCAATATAGTACAAAGTATAACCAGTCTCAACTACAGGAAAACTGGTAAAAGCTGCTGTACTTGAGATGCCTAAATATGGTGGTAGTGGGAGTAGACTTTCTGGAACCAAGTCCTGCAAATAAAAATAATTACAAGTACACAATCATTTGAAGGCTGATCTGGCTTTAACTCGGTCGTTGCTTTAAGAACATGGTACACAATAGGCATCTGAATCTAGCTTACAAAACTCCGTTAAAATCCAAGTCTAATCATAATTGCTGTCGTTATTATTAAATGCAGGAATGTCAGCCACATAACAAATAAATAGGAACATAGCAAACTGGATGAAATACATTTAAGTCATTAAATCTAAGATATGAAGTGTTGGCATACGGTCAGATTAAGACCAATAAACGAACACGTTACATGGTGGGAGTGAAAACTCCGACGTTTTTCTAATTTAATATGAAAATGCATTACGGTAATAAGTGACTGGAATTATATGGCACATGTCTTCAAAACTGTGACTCTGCAAGATTAGCTATATCATGAATAAGAGATGATAAACCCTATTGATCAATGAACATTTTAATTACTTGCAAGGGATAGGGTCCGTCGAAATAAAATGAGATTTAACTTCCTACTTTTCTGAATCAACGACATACAGTGTGCTATAATGAGAAACATTTTTCCCAGACAGAAGCATTCCCCCCTACCCAAATTTCAGCTATCGAGGATCTTGGTTTGTCATAGTGCTGTTTAATCATTATAATGGGAAGAAAATGCGTGTTACAAGTGAAAGAATTGGCGGTAAATACCGCTGTCTGCCCCCCCCCCCCCGCCCCTTATTATGCTTTCGTAATCACTCAAATGTGACGAAATTCTTGATCCACCTTGAAACACATTAGAGTGCACGTAAAACTACTATTGACAGTTGCAATTCGATGAAGAGTAAGCTGTAAACACGGATGTCTGGAATAAGAAAGTCTACAAATTTGAAAAAGAAAATCAACAATGTTAAGAAAAGTTTTCCAGCCCCCGGCGCCGATTATTTTCAGTAAGACAAGACAAGCTGAATATTCCTGAACGAAATTGAGTGGCTTGTCCATAATGTTTGTTTTTGAACTTCTCAAAAAGAAACTCTGTTGATTTTTGACCCCCGTGTAACTCAGATGTAAAGTGCCTAAAATGTATCTGAATTACAGACTTCCTTGTTTTTTCAAATCTGTTAAATAACTGTAGATCGGGTAATTAAAAGTACTGTAATACATTTCATTGATTTCAATCAATTATAATGTCTATCAAAAATTATATATAAAGCTTACCTGTTTTGTCCCACTGTCTAAGTGTTTGTTAATGGCCTCGATTTCGTAGGTGCATAACGCATCTTCAAATAAAGCAGATACACCAACATATTCGCTACCATTGTTTATGCTGGCTCTTGTAATCGCCACAGCAATGAAAGACGTTTTATTATCACATTTAATCACATTTTCGTTAAAGTTATTAAATAAATCCATACTTTGAATTGAGAATCTTGATATATTAGCTCCAGCTGTATCGTTGATTTTCTGAGAGATGAAGTAAACCGAGTCATTCTGAATAAAAATTGCTTTTGGTATATAATTTTCTAAATTGTAACAGCTATTGTTATATGACTGACATTGGTCATTATCCAATTTAAAGACACATATTTGACTGTCATTCATTAAATCATTTGGTGCTGCAACAATCAGAACCGGGCCGCATGATACCTTTCCAAACAAAGCCATAGTGGGTGACAAACTTGATGGCAGTTTAACTGTGGTATTGGAGACTGCGTCACTACTAAAGTTACCTAAAGGAACTCTGTTACAATTACCACCATCACCTGTTCCACAGAAAATCAACGAATCATCATATTTCACGAGAATCTGGTTCTTGTTCATGATTTTGTCTTCTTCACAAAAAGAATCATTCAACTGATAGATGTAGTTTGATCCAGCAAGGTAATATTTGTTATTTGTCGAATCGAAAACAATCTTTGATAGCCCGGAAGCATTAAAGGAATTGTCATTTGAACATGTATGCCCAAGGACTCCGTTCTGTTTACCGATGACAAAAACAACAAGATACACTAACATAATCATTGCCGCCATAGTCTTTATCTCAAACCTATAAGGCACTAAAATGTAAATCAAATATAGAATAACTATATGGATTAAAAATTATTTAGCTTTTATTACAACGACGTTTCAGCTAAAATGCAAATTAAATATGGAATAACTATGTGGAATAACAATAATTAGCTTTTATTCAACTAGGCTTCTCTGATCTTCAGAAGGCAAGAATCCGAATTGCTCGTAAAATGGATTTATAGAAATTGAGTAAAGTTATCATGTTTAAGGCGTTCCGAAGAGAATATAATTAAGCTAGCGTTATTGAATCGTAAGTTATTTTATCTGTTACCATTATTGCCGAGTACATACTTTGTCTATAGAATGCAAGCAACTAAATATTCCCAAGATATAATATAAAACCACTCTCATTATATGCGAACTGTCATTAGACACAAAAAGGGAACAGGGAACACTATTTGGGAATACCAAACATATATTTAGTTAAATATCGGAGGAATAATTCAAAGTGGAATAATTCAAAACGTATTGTGCATATTACATATGAATGTTTGACAACTTCACCCAAATAGCTATGGAGGACCAAACAGCTCTTTTTTTCCGTGTTATTTATTCTTAGTTCTTAATGTGTGGTTCTTAATTCTTATTTCTTAATGTGTGGTCGTATTTCGACATTTGTACACTAAAATTTAAATTTGTATCTTAAAATCAATATTTGTATCTTAAAATCAATATTTGTTTTACAAATAAGACATTTGTCATATCAGATTTGTAAAAGATAAAATTTATTTTAGAAAATCCCCCCCCCCCCAAAAAAAAAAAAAAAATAAATAAATAAATAGCCTGCATTGTCATTTTATTATAGACATACAACGAAAAACAAATCTCGAACAACAAATAAATAGCCTGCATTGTCATTTTATTATAGACATACAACGAAAAACAAATCTCGAACAACAAATTTCCAAATACAACTCTCCAAATACAAATCTTGCAAAACATTTCTCGAAAAACATTTCTCGAAGCATTATGATGACATGGACCGAAATCAACCTGGCATACGATAAGTCACCATATAATAATGAGGAATCGAGCAAGCATACAATAAGAAAAATCGCTCGATGACAGTGACTTTAGTAAAGTTACGTGCGTGTTATGGCTAATCCATAGAGTTATGTTAATATATTGGTTAATCCGATCTAGCATTAAATAAATAAATATAAATTGAAAGTAGTCTATTTTTAGTAATTAGGTTATTTTTTGATAGCGACATTTCTTTGGACAAACGAAAGAAGATTTCATCTCTTCTAAATCATGTAATCATAAATGTGCCGGAAAATAACTAATACTCGTTTAGACAAATACTTTCGGTGACGCATTACACGATAACTGGAATTTCGTATTAAGACCGGTATTTTGACTTTTAAATATCCCCCTCACTAAATAGAGTTCAGTCGATCCAAATTATATCTGCTTTAACAGGGTACGCAAATATGAATATGTCAGAAAATATTTCACAATTTTGAAAATGTATTTGGGCCCTTTTTTAATGGTATGCATCCCGATATCTTGTATTTCGTGTTATGGTCCGTATTTTGACGATAAATACCTCCACCCCCTTTCATTTAATACATGTTAGTGTCATTCAAATTTGTTCTCTTCCTCCCCTGCTCCATATCAAAACTCATAACACTTCTAGTGGTATGCAGTGTCATTCAAATTTGTACTTCAAAGTATGTAAATATAAATGTACCGGAAAATTATTTAAATTTTGTAGCAAACAATAAACATACTTTCTAGCAGTATATGAAAAGATATCAAGAATTTCTTACTAAGATCTGGTTTTTTTTTACTTTAAATACCCCTCGCCCTCAACCCACTTATTAAAGCTTAGTACTGTGAAACTTTGATCTTTTTTAAGGTATCGGGAGACAGGCGATACGTTTCAAGTCAGTAGCTTGAAGCGTATATATGGTATTAGTGTCAGTGGCCTGTGGCACGAAGTAACAGTATATTGTCGCATACATAATATATTATGTCAACGCTTGGGCGATATAATATATTATGTCAACGCTTGGAACTAGGATGGAGGTGACTAGGCATGAACTTGCAACGATATATTTAATTGGCGCTTTGATAACCAATGAATGCTTTGGAGACATATTTTGGCGGTATTTTCCATCATGGAATCGGTAAGTTTCGATTGTTTTTTTCTTTTCTGTTTTTTCTCTCTTTTCTGTGTCCTAACCCTAACCCTAACCGTAACCCTAATCCGAAAGAAAAGTGCCCTTTTTTGAAATTCTGACATCACAGGTGCCCTTTTTCTGATAAGGATGCCCTCTTTTATTTACAGGGACACTTTCTATTGTTAAGGGGGTGGACCGGTCCCCATGGTCCAACCCCTGGATCCGCTCTGATGACGCGTACATTCCACTGAGTCTACAGGTCTAATATGCTAACACGCTTGGAGCGTCAACACAATATATTATGTCGCCCAAGCGTTGACATAATATATTATGTATGCGACAATATACTGTTACTTCGTGCCACAAGCCACTGACACTAATACCATATATACGCTTCAAGCTACTGACTTGAAACGTGCAGGGTGCGGGAGAAGGCCATCCCAGACTATATAAAAAAGATGAAATTATGAATTATGAAATTCACGGGACAGGTTTATTGGGACGTACGAAAATATTTACGGAGAATGAACTGAAGAATAATTGGGTAGAAATAAGCTTAAAAGAATTACAAAATTCGATTTCTGGGTGGAAAAGGCGTTTAGTGCAAGATAAGGGACATATTGACCATTTGTTTATGTAAATAGGAATGAGTGTAATGTGATTTCTCAGTCTGGCCAAAGATAATTTCATATTCTTTTTTGAAACTCGTACGGTAACACTATTAAAGCGATCGACCTACAAACTAGAGTGCAGTTCTCAAACATTCCTATTGTACTACATGTGAAACATTAATGCTTGAATTATTTCACTTTAAGTAGTGGCCACCCGATATTTGCTATAGCTTAAATACACTGTACCCCCTAGAAAATCTCAATATCGTCATTGATATAATATCTAATATTTGGTATTTGGTTACACTGTCCAGATTTTACCAATGTTAGATTTCAAACTCTAAATAGAGAGAGAGAGAGAGAGAGAGAGAGAAATGGGGTTTAACGTCCACTCGACACAAACTAGGTCATTTCGGGACTAACACATGGTTTAATTTTATTTCAATAATTCGCTTGCGCGTAGGGGTCTTTAGCAGTGGGAGGAAACCGGAGGACCCGGAGAAAACCCACGAGGTTGGACAGGCGACCCTACTCCTTGCCACGTACAACCGGGGATTCGAAACCACTCCAGTTGACTCAATGACAGACTTTATGGTACAGCGCGCACGTGCTAACCATTCAGCCACCCAACCCCCCAAACTCTAAATAAATTACCAAATCAACGGTAATATATATAATAGATACACACATTTTAAATCCAGTTCAGGAAATTATACATTTATCTAAAGATTCCCATAACCATTGTAAATACTATTTAAGTGATTATTTTCTCGTTCCCTATGCAACTGACGTCTTTAAAACATTATACAAAGCAATCGTATTATGAAATGGTAGCACATTAGAAAAATGAAATGAAATGAAATGGAGTTTAACGTCCTACTGTTCTGCTCCTAACCTGGGCTAATGAAGACGGGCATACGCCATACAGTGTGCTATGAGGGAAATTTTGCCCGGACAGCGGCACTACGGCCTACTCTTATATCGAATTCCAACTGCCAAAGGATCTTTTACGTGCACGCCAATGTGTACACGGGATTGCAATCTAGAGAACAAAAAAAAAAACAAAAACAAACAAACGTTAACCCGAAGTGGATACTAATGTTTAATATGATTTCTTGTCCTATATATGCCAAGTTTAATATTGTAATTCCTGAAAAATCTAAAAAAAAAAAAAAAAAAAAAAAAAAGAAAGAAAAAAAAACCCCGCTAAATTGTATTGTATTGACCAAATTTCCTAAATTGATCATATGCTAATATATTACTTATAACTTGCTTTCAGATGTTAAAGTAATTATATATCAAACAGTAGCACATTTTCTACAACACATGTATTATTGAACTAAAAAGACCTGTTACATGGTTTGAATCTATATTCCCCTTTATATTCCGTTTTTAATATCAATGTCACTTACTGATCAGAATATTTATCCGCTGTTACACCTCAATTGATAATATGGTGTGAGTTGTCTCGCAACCACATGTATTAATAATATAACAAACTACACCAAGGTAGTCGCATGACAAGAAGGAAAAAACATGATTCGCTCTCGTATTTTACATCCTGGTATTATGTTACATAGTACAAGCTTGACAATGATTTCAGTGTACATGTATACGTAACGATTGACTGCCCTTGTATTTAAAGAAAAACAATACGACAGTGGAAAATGGGTAACACATAAAAACCAACCTATAGATATTTAAGCTAGGTTTTACACGGGTCAATCAGGAAGTGAATTACCCCGATTAAATATACTGCATAGTTAGTATAAATTCCCGTGATATGAATAACTCAGACAACACCCAAAGGTTATGCATAGCTTTTCGCAGGTGTATTAAAAAACATAGGGTTTTTTTTGCATTAATTACATTATTATACTGGTTGAAATTTGTTTTTAGTTTTGGTAATACTGCAATATTGCTTGAATAAGCAGCAATAAACGATCTGCGTTGATTTAATATTTATTTCTTTAAGGAATCGGAACTGTGATTGCAGAGATTATGGATTGATCAGCTAGTCATAAAGAGGAGGTGGGGGGGGGGCGAATGGTTAGAGCGTATTATAGTCATAAATCCAATAACTTAAGCAGGGGCGTACATTACGATTTTGTTTGGAGGGGTGTTTAGCCAAAATGCGACCGACTGATGCCCATATCCCTAGTACGAGTGACACAGTCAGGAGCCGAGCACCACAGGTGCGAGTTTTGTAGGGGCCATGTGCAGTAGCGGATCTAGATAGGGGTGGGGGGGGGGTCCAAATCTAGGGCGCCACCCCAGCCACAATCCCACCCAACAATGAATGTCAACAAAATACTTGCTATAACATTAAGCGTCCCGGTAGAACATAGATGGTATTGTATAATTATATAGTTGTTTGCTGATCGTTGTCTCGCTGGAAAGCAGTTTTATTTAAGTTACCATAAGGTTTATGTCATATATGATTGTGCCTATAACACTGAGCAACCTGAGAAAATTTTAAAAAATTGAGTCAATATCTTGGCATTTGAGGTCATTGCTGGGACGAAAACTCGAGATCCGCCCCTGTCAATTCCGCCTGTTTTGCAAGAGTTGACAGAACTTTTGTATAGTCTGACGCCCCACGACCCACACACCAGTGCCAGTGGTACTACTAACATAACTAGGCAGTTCAGTATAACCGTGAATATGATAGTGCTGAGACAGTGTAAGACAACAGAGGGGTGGAAGAATGATATTATAATGGAATCGAGCGCCGCAGGCGCGAAAAAATTTCAGATGTGTAACCGAGCTTTTAATTTTTGGGACTGGGTCTGACAATTTTAGTCAATGTCATGGAAAATGGATCCAAATTCGCGTTAACGAGAGGATAAGAAATGGGACAGAATCTTCAGGCCTATCTGTCAATGTCGCCTGTTTTGTGAGAGTAGAACTAACAATTCTACAGTCTTTTGACCCACGACTCACTCACTAGTGGTACTACTAACTGGGCGATTCACTGTAACTGTGAATATGATAGTGATGAGATAGTATAAGACAGAGAAGGAGTTGAAGAATGATGGCATAATGGAATTGAGCGCCGATATGTAACTGAGCTTTTAATTTTTGAGGACTGGGCCTGAAGGCACTTTACCTCAATGGGGCGCTTACTTGGTCTCTGAAATGCCCCGGACTTTGGGGAGAGATTTTGCAGAATTCTGATGGTCAGAAAACACCCCATTAATTCATTTAGTCTGAGAACGACTGCGGTGAGCACTTTTTTTTGAGACCGACTATTTTTTTGCCATGGGGTGAAAAACATTTTTTTCAAACATGATAAGTCGACAAGGTTATTTTATACTAAAGTTTTGCGTGTGCAGTGAGCACTTATTTTGATACCGACTGCTCATATCCTACGACCGACTGCACTGATTTTGCGACCGACTAGTATTTGAGATCTATTCTGGCATTATTTGTTTACCTCATTAATTCATTAAGACGGCGATGCATTATTTTGAGACCGACTGCAGTGACTGCTCTTATTTTGAGACCGACTATTTTTCTCCCTGGAGGAAATTTTGTTCTTAGACCTACATACTCACAACAGAATAAGAGTGAAACACATCATTTTTTCAAACATGATAAGTTGACAAGGTTTTGCGTGAGTAGCGTGACGTGTGCAGTGAGCACTTATTTTGATACCGACTGCTCTTATTTTGCGACCGACTGCACTGATTTTGCGACCGACTATTTTTTTTCCTGGGGGGTGTACCACCCCCCACCCAGATTTACGCCCCTGAACTTAAGGCAAGGACGAATCAAAGTGGGAGTGGGGGACGCGGAGAAGAATCGGTCATGAAAGACGTGAGATCCACGGGCTATTTGAAAAATGGCGGCTATTTGAAACTATTCATATTCTTTGGTGGATATTAGCGGCCATTCTACATTCTCGACTTGTCGGGTTGTGGAGACGACAAGTCGCAGCACGACAAGTCGAAATAATTGTATTTTGTCGACTGGTCGGGTTGTAAAGGCGACAAGTCGACATGTCGACAAAGTCAACCCGACAACGCGACAAACTAACCCGACAATCGTCGCCTTCATTTTGTCGACTTTTCGGGTCAATTCTGTCGACTTATTTCGCTTCCTCGTGCCCCGACTTGTCGCCTCGGAAGTCAATCACTGCGCATGAGCAAGCATTCTTCGGTTAAGTATGGAAGCCTAATCTCGACGAGGCGAGGGAGCAATTAATCAGCATTTGTTTTTGCTTGCTGCACTTGACAATTACACAGATAGGATTGAAAATTGAAAAGGTCGTTTGGTTAAATTTGCAGCTAACGACCTATAAAATTAGGAATCTATATTTCAGAAGAGAGTCAGTTTTATATGTTGATATGTATTTTAATGTATGCTTTCAATATATCTATGATAATTGAGAATACACTATGCTAGATTTACTATAATAAAATATATTTAAAATTTAATTCCCCCTTCGTAGGATGATTCTAGGCAAGTTTCTTTTACGGAATACACTAAAGCTTTTTCTTGGTCACATCCCAATTTCAAATCTCCTTGACTTGTGCCAAAAATTAGTAGTAACTGTATCGCTGGTTCACTAACCAGAAGGTCTGCACCCAGCATGGCTTTCCTTATGTCCAATGTACGGTGACGTGCACATGGAACCTTTGTCAGTTGGACAAACTTCCCTCGTAGCACACTGCGTTGGTGTAGAAAAGTAGCTTGCTTGATAAACTATGCCGGAGTTTAAAATAACCGTGGTCTGTATCTAAAAAGTTTATTTTTGTCCCCATTCTGGCTGAAAAATTACCCCGGACTTTTCCAGCGTCAGTGGTGCGTCGGGACGCGGGTGGGGAGCAGAGTCTAGTCTTTCTGTACGGAAAACCCTGGTCCCGCGTAAGCGTAGACGTAAAGGAACCCTAGACGGAGTTTGAAACATGAGTATGCCGTATCGCCGCTGTCGGGCAAAATTTACCTCATAGTAAGCCTACACTGCATAGCGTATGCCAGTCTTCATTGGTGCGGAAAAGTACCTTGTTTGATAAACTAAGCCGTAGTTTGAATGGGGTGTTCTCATCCAGCTCAAAATATTGATTAAGGGGATTATGGGTTTAGGGCTGGGGGATTATGGTCTGTAGCTGAAATGTGTTCACCTAATTAGATATGGATTAACCGTTTAATAAGTGTCATGTGAACTGTGTTTAATAAGTGTCATGTGAACTGTGTTTAATGAGTGATTTTTTACAAAGTAATGAATCAATTTGGTTCAATTAAAACCTATTTAAGGGAGTGACATCTTCAGTTGATATGTCAAAATGGCAAATGTAAATGTTCAGGTGCTAACGGCATTTCCAGGCCAAAGAAGAAAGCCTACCGTGAACTAGAAGAGAGACTTCAAGCATTGAAAGATCAGTTCCGAAATGGTCAAAGAGACATCATGCTTTATGTAGATGCGGTATCTCATCTTGTCCATTTAGAGTAAAAAGTATGAAATGTTTACTTGCCCATATGAAATATATATTTTTAATGTTGATGCTCATTTCATAGTGCTATTTAGTTATTTATTTTTTATATTAAGTTTTTCCTCAATGTGTACACGGGACCTCGGGTTTTCGTCCCATCCGAACGACTGAATAGCTGTCCTTGTCATACCCTCCTTCCTGCACCACTGACAACACGCCGGAAAACTTATTTGAGTTGGAATATTAGTAGATTGATTATTGCAGATTTGTATGTGTTTGGGCAAACTGTGCTGTTGTTGGTAATCAGTGAACATGCGTATAAATTGCATTCTCGTCCTGTTCCCTCGCGCTTTAGCACTCTCGCTCCCTCGCCTAGACGTCTCGTCGAGATTATGAAATGGTCACAACAGGCTCATGCGCACTGGCTGACTTCCGAGGCGACAAGTCGACAAAGCGAAATAATTGTATTTTGTCGACTTGTCGGGTTGTGAATAAGCCGAAGGCGACAAGTCGACAGAATTGACCGGACAAGTCGACAAAATAAAGGCGACGAATGTCGGGTTAGTTTGTCGACTTGTCGCCTTCACAACCCTACAAGTTCAAGTTGACGAGACGACAAAATACAATTATTTCGACAACCTGACAAATCGAGAATGGCCGCTGACAGCCACCATAATATTCCCCCGTTTCGAAGCAAAAATACGACTTTGAATTACACACTAAACCGATAATTTACAGTTTTATTTGTACATTTAATTCTTTAATATTAAATAATTGTAGATCCAGTAAAACCTAATGAAAATAGTATTTTGTAAACAATTGATATTTTGAAAAAAAAAAAAAAAAATTATACGATGAATGAACCAGTACACTTGTACATTACAGTGGCTGCAACTATATTTTCAGAAAAATCGTTCAGATGTCACGGTAGAAGTAAAATATATTGTCTAATACGTGTACTTATTTTTTTCTGGTATAATCATATAAAATATAGTTAGTGTAATACATGAGGTGACTCGGGCTTACATATTTCAATAGAGCAATTATCCAGAGAGACCCCTCAACAGAAGAATGTTTAAAAGTTGGTTATTCTGTCCAGATTGTCCAGATAAGAGAAAGGGAAGAAAACGTCTGATTCCACCTTCGCCTCGAGTCAACAATAGTAGAGTAAGAGGGTCGATTTGGTTGGACGTCTGTTGCCCGAATGGGTTAGGAAATAAACCCGGGTTGTTCTGATTGTTGGTTGAATAGCCCATGGGTGGCAAAACTATAAAATAAACAAATTATTCATATAATCAAATGGTACATATAGAACCATATTGTATATAATTATATATTTGTGAGACCAGTACCACTAAATCTAAACTGTTATTAAGTTAGTTTTTTTATAACTTGAACATTTCCACAACAGATAAAAAAAGGAAATGACTTTATTCTGGGAGAAATTATGAATGTTAAAAAATGTTTGCGTAGATTGTTTACTATCGTTGCAACGGTATTTGACAATCGAGGCTAAGTCTCGATTATCCATTTCATCGTTATTTTCTTTTATCTCTCGGTTGTTATAATCCAATTAAATCTCGGCCACCCGATGGTCCAGCGAGTTGGTTATGGGCTTGTCATGTGTGTGAATAAATGTCTAACAGTTTATATAAAGGGCTGCGATAGGCAGATTTATCATCTTTGATTAAACGTTAAAAAAATAATCTAAGTAAGGTGGATTAAGCCTTGAGAAATTTGATATCTTAGAGAAATATACAAATGACGCATCATTACTTTAACAACGTCGTTTACCTTGACTATATACTGCCACGATGAGAACCAAAAATACACATAGTTGGCTAAGTAGAGACATTTTGAATTGTCGAATGAGTCTGAAAAATAAAATGGAATCAACTGATATAGTAAGCCCGGAGTACGCTTTTAGTACAAATATGAATATATTTGGACTGAAATAAATTCGTGTCTTATTACCATTAAAATGATACTGAATAATCTTATAATAATATTTGCATGATCAATAACAAGAGATGGTTTAAATATTGTTCTTTAAGATTAAAATCATATTTAATAAAACTTGAAAACCTATTCGTATCCGATATAAAACACGAAACGAAATGGGGTTTAACGTCTAATTTTCTGCACCGACTGGACTAATGAAGACGGGCATGCCACATACAGTGTGCTAGGAAGAGAATTTGCCCGGACAGTGATACTACCGAATACCCTTATTTCGAATTCCAACTGTCAAAGGATATTTTACGTGCACGCCAATGTGTACACGGGCCTCAGTGTTTCGTCCCAACGAAACGAGAGTCAACTCCGAGAGCAAACCCGAGACCTCCTGGTTATAGATCCAGTGTCTTACCCACTGAGCAAACGCGGCTCTCCGCTGATATACAAAATTTAACGCTTTAATATTCTTGTTGAAGAAGGTGCGTTAAAATTAATACTGAATACTAATTTGAAACCTAGTCACTTCCTCTTTTTCAAACATTTATTGCGGTTCCCTTTTTATTGCACGAGAAACACATTTTACTGTAAATGATGTGGCCATGACAAAATGGTCTAGTTATTATTTTAAAGCAATAAATGAAATCTAATAATGTTTATATTTGCTAATATTAATAGAAACCTACCTTGGCTGTTTAATATTCTGTGATAGTAGACGAATGTTGCAAAGTTACGAGATTCCTAGCATTTATATACACCGGTATGGGTTATAGACCGGTGAAGATCTTAATACAAACAAATAAACAATGTCCGAAAAAATCAAATAAACCGCACGTAAAAAGATATTTTTTCTAGTGTTTTTGTCCTGTAAAAAAATTGTGAGCTGTCATAATCTTTTATCTACTTAGATAATGATGAATAACCCAGTAACATAGGTAAACACATATGTTTAATGCGGATAAAAAAATGTCGATGGGAATGGAAAATATAAATTTTAAACGAATATCGGTTTTCAAATAATGTGTTACCATTTGTTTCCGAAGTATGCTTGCAATAGATATGCGAAGTACAACAACATTTTGTTAGAAACCTAAACCTACCATATTAATGAGACGTGGTATAAGGTGTTCTAGAAAATGAACAAAGTTAGCTGATGTAGTAACAAAAATGCATAATTATGGCCACTTGTATAGATTTTATGTATAGTTGTATTTTTGGCATGGAATATTGACAACAATGAAAATGTTTTTTTCTACTATGTATTTGTAATCAGTGATTTCAGTACATTATCTATTAGGGTATTGGGCATTGTTGTTATTACAATAGGGGTTGTAACAGGTCATCCTCACCCAGCATCTTAGATGAAAATTCCCTCGGGCTATTCCACTTTTGAGCCCCCCCTCCCCCAACAAATACCTCAGCCTCGCGACATCAGGAAAATGAAAGTATGTTTTAAACACAATTGAGCATGGCCGAGGACTATGCCCGACTTTTAGGACTACGTAAGAAAGGCTTAGGACACAATAATAATTAATATTCACCTTCTCCGAAGGCCCCCTAGTTGAGCCCACAGTCTCCCAATCTCCATCCCGCGCCTATGTTGTTGCCATATGCGAAGGTGGAGATGGTTAAGTTTGGCGCCAGAGATAATTTAGTCGACTAAGTCAAAGTCGAGTCCGAAATCTAGCTGTAAAAGCCGTTTTAAGAGGAACCCGATCACTCCAACTACTCAGTCAAATGGCTTTATACGCCTATCTATTATGTGAAATGGCTTTATTTAACGTCCGCTTCCACCAAGGTGATATCGCAGACAAAACTATTGCTGTACTATTGTATTTATACCACTTGACTGGTGATATGGCTGGTTATCTCACACCTCTGGAATGTAGCTATGAGTATAGCTATCATAAGTTTGTCCTTTGCCTTTGATCGTATTTTGTTCGAGCTCATACCTGCCAATGACTGCCATTCCACCGGAGCGTCAATGAGCGAACTGACATTTACGCCATGTCCACGCAAGACTTGGTACTTTTTTAAACGAAGAAAGCCCTAGACTAAATATTCAATTTAGCAGACTCCTTGCGTACAGGTGATTTGAACTGCATAAAAAAAGGAGCCCAACTAACCCTGAAATTCATCTTTGAGAAAGGACTGACCTAACATTGATTGGGGCAGACTTCAAGTTCCAAAGATCATGAAAGACGGCGATAATTCAAAGTGATATTTATTGTGATAGCAGTCTGACAAAAAATATCGTCTATGTGTACCATCTAGGAATATGCACCTTAAGGATGAAATGAAATGAAATGGGAATCCAACTGTCAAGGGTTCTTTTACGTGCACGTCAATGTGTACTGTGTACACAGAGCCTCGGGTTTTCGTCACATCTTCAAGTCTTCATTGGCAGAAAAGTAGGACAAGATGAAATCGCATCGGCAAATCTTATGGAGCTTTCTGGAACAACACCGAACCTTTTTGTAAAGGTTAATTCAAACGGGTTATTCCCATGAAAAGAGAGAGAGAGAGGGAGAGAGAAATGGGGTTTAACGTCTACTAGACACAAACTAGGTCATTTCGGGACTAACAATAGGTTTAATTTTATTTCAATAATTCGCTTGCGCGTAGGGGTCTTTAGCAGTGGGACCAAACCGGAGGACCCGGAGAAAACGCACGAGGTTGGACAGGCGACCCTACTCCTTGTCACGTACAACCGGGGATGCGAAACCACGCCAGTTGACTCAATGACAGACTTTACGATACAGCGCGCGCGTGCTAACCATTCAGCACCCCCCCCCCACCCCTTCACTTGAAAAAATCCACTAGTTTATAAACTATATTATTTATAAATACCACATAATTATGAACATTTCCATGCACCTAATATGTTGACTGCAGATGACCTAAATACTTGTATTATATTTCACTATCAAAATTAGTCTGATTATATGTATTCATCCATGCATGGACAAAATTTTAATAGCGCAACAGAATAGAATATCGTGATTGCGGTGTAATCTAAGCGCTTTATAAGTATTATTTTTTATAAATTTAAGTAAAGTCAGTGACTCACGGCTTGTCCCCTCTTATCTTGCTCACCCCCCCCACCCCCACTTTGCAAGGCATGTTTTGTTAGACAGAAAGATCAGGCAGTAAACAGGTGATTTAGGTGAATCGTCATATCCTATAGACTATTTTGATCGGACGTAGCAAAAAATCGAGATGGTCAACATCATTCAATATTTTTATCAGATGATTGTGACATGTTGGGCTCTTAAGATTAATATCATCTGAATGTTAAAAAAATATAAAATGTCATTCAATCTAAATCCCGTTATTTCTCAGTGTCCTCCTGGTATGGCAATCGTATGTCAAGACCCTGGTCCATTGAAATGTAAGTTTAAGGGTTAGAGAGAGAGAGAGAGAGAGAGAGAGAGAGGGGGAGAGAAATGGGGTTTTAACGTCCACTCGACACAAACTAGGTCATTTCGGGACTAACACATGGTTTTAATTTTATTTCAATAATTCGCTTGCGCGTAGGGGTCTTTAGCAGTGGGAGAAAACCGGAGGACCCGGAGAAAACCCACGAGGTTGGACAGGCGAGCCTACTCCTTGTCACGTACAACCGGGGATTCGAAACCTTAAGGGCTAGAGATGTTAGTAGGTTAAGCATCTAAGTGATATGATGAAGGTGTGTGGGTAAGTGGGGTGCTTTTAGACGATATCATGAATATTTGTCCTGATTTATTTCCTCCCACTCTGACAACCTATATCGATTTATTATGTCTTTGCTTTTTTATAAGTAGACATGATTTAATGTCGTCTACAACCGTGGAGATACCCTTTTGTGCTGCTTTTCTAAGTTCACACGAAGGACAACATATTTTAATGGCCATCATCATTGAGTTTACATTCTAACTTTAATTAACGGAGTTTCCCCAAAATAAATCGATTTCATGTGTTCATGTCTTCAAAGTTATAAAACGAAAATGTATACCATACACCGAAATAACAGCGATATACCTAATTGCCACCAACAGTTACATGAAGTCTGAGATTACAGGCGGGGCTGGGCTGTCACGGCCATGTGCGTTTACATAATGACTTTAACCCACACTGTAAAAAATATCCATTTTTTTGTGGCCGAATTCCGTAATTAAACACCTTTTTTCTGTTAATCGATGGATTTTTTGGAGAAATTGTGTTAATAGTGTGAATTATTTCTTCAAATTACGTGTTTTATGTCTTTCTGTGGAATATTCAGTATTAAACAGGAATTTTCCGTAAAATTTAGGGATAAAATGTTTTATTCCCTTCTATAATGGACTTAATTCTGTTATTTTACGGAATAAACGGTGGAATGACAAGGAAGTTCCTTGAAATTTAGGGATAAAATGTTTTATTCCGTTCTGTAATGGACTTAAGTCTGTTATTTTACGGGATAAACGGTGCAACGATAAATAATCGTATACATATATAATCATTCCTAATAATCATCATGTTATAGTATTCATTTCAATTTATTAACCATAATATGAAGAATCATATTTTGTAAAGTTTGGTATATTAATTTGTCATGTATATCTAATTTCCATTATTTATAAGATCTATAAAGTGTATTGTGATTCATCATACGGAAATCAGATTGTAAGTATTTTCATAAATATATAAAAGTATGTTTTAATGCTGCGTGTGTTAAGGTTGTAATATCTGGTAATCAAGCACGCTTAAATCCGGATAGTACAACCGGTTGGCCAGTGTAAGTCGGTTTGTCTCTATGGCAGAGTCAACATACCTGCGAATTGATAATACCGCAAACTTACACGTATACATTGTTTCATGCTCGACTCCCATCACCATAACTGAATAAAAGATCACTTCAGACCCAAAAGCCATCGGAATTCACTAGCCCTGCAGTGGGTTAGATACAAAAGTGCAGCATAAATTAGCCAGCTCTATATACAGAAAAGAAGACGTTAAACCACCATTTCAGTTTATGTTGTCCTATCCCCTAGATCGTTGATTTCCAACGCCAACCTAACAACTATCAAAGGTATATAATGGTAGTCACGTACAAGGATTGGAATCGCTGCATAATTTTCGACGAATTAGCGTTTCGTTATAAGAATAACTAATGTTCTTAGTTCGGTACCTAAATGATAGATATCGCACCCAAATCCGCTCTGAATACGGTTGAGAATCACCTGTTCCCAAAGAAATGTTCCAAAAGTGCAGCTTTAAGACTTAATGCAACATAGCTTAATGTATCGGTATAAGTAATTTATATCGTCTAACCGCTGTTCTCATTTTACTGTTTAACAATATTTAGTACAAACATTGTACATAAAAAGACCTGAACAGAAGAATGTTTAGAAATTGTTTGTTCTGTCCAGATAAGAGAAATGGAAGGAAACGTCTGATTCTACCGTCTCGTCGAGTCAACATTAGTAGTTAGTGTAAGAGGATCGATTTGATTAGTAACTTGAGGCCCGAATGTGGGGCTATACTATATACCGGAAAACACCGAAAAACAACCGGAAACACTGGAAAACAACAGGAAAACACCGGAAAACTACCGGAAAACACCATGTTATACTGAATACCGGAAAACACCGGAAAAAACACTAAATACCGGAAAACACACTAAATATTGGAAACCTCCCTAAATAGGTAACCCGGAGAAGGGCTATACTATAAACCGGAAACTAACCCTAACCCTAACCCTAAACAGGCACCCAGAGGACCAGGCTCCCGGTTACCTATTTAGGGTGCCAGTCTCCGGGTTACCTATTTAGGGTATTTTCCGGTATTTAATGTGTTTTCCGGTATTTAGTATTTTTCCGGTGTTTTCCGGTATTCAGTATAAAATGGTGTTTTCCGGTTGTTTTCCGGGTGTTTTCCGGTGATTTCCGGTGTTTTCCGGTATATAGTATTGCCGCCGAAGGTCTTAGCAAAGTTACACGGACTGTTTGTAGGATAACCTTGTCCGCCTGTTGATGTTGAACGGGCGGGGGTTTCAATTCCCCGGTTATACGTGACAAGGAGTACGGTCGCCTGTCCAACCTCGTGGATTTTCTCCGGGTCCTCCGGTTTCCTCCCACGACTAAAGACCCCTACGTGCAAGCGAATTATTAAAATAAAACTGAACCATATGTTAGTCCCGAAATGACCTAGTTTGTGTCGAGTGGACGTTAAACCCGATTTCTTTCTCTCTATCTCTCGCTCTTCTTCGGGACGACGCTCTTCGATTAAAGCATAAGAGTCTGCCAATGCGCATCCATGCCATCACAATTCGAAGATGGTGGTGATGACGTCATACTCTAGATGTCCCGCTTTTCTTTACCCCCTAATTTTGTAAGGCATTTTTGGTTGACAATTCGGTCTAGAATCGAGTTAATTTTTATGTCATGATTTTGGTAGATATTCAGGATTTTGATACAGAAGGATCAGGATATGTTTAATAATAATAATAATAATAATAATATTAATAATAATAATGACTTTATTTAAAAAGAAGGGTTGAAGATTATGCTAAAATAGCCTTTCTTAGAAAATATAATACAAAAGATATAGCTAATAAATTAAATAATACGCCACAATAATTTACAATAGGGGAACAAAAATATGATCTTCCCAAGTAAGATTATGATTGAGAAAAACACCCAATATTTTTACCGAGGAAACAACTTCTAATCATTACGTAATTTAATATTAAATAATATACAGACACATTTTAGGGAAATCCCGACAGAAAATTACGTATATAACAGTCTATTGATTTCCTTTACCTTAAGAAAAACACATAGTCAAACCCTTTTTAAGTTTTTATCAGATAATAATGTCATGTTTGACTCTCTGTGGTTTTAAAGGTTAAGATCACCGAAGTGTTAAAAATAAAATGTTGTAAGCTAAGAAATTTCATCAAATTAACATTGTAGTGAATGGAGGCGATAATTGAGGGCCAACAACTAATATATTATTTTTTTAAATCAAAACTTTACATTGGCGTTTTTATGGGATGGAGCTAGATAAAATCTTTCTTTTAAGACACTCACTTTACATGCATATCGTGATATATATTTTCCTGGTTGTTACATATTATTACATTACAATCCTGTTAGGTGAAATTGAGATATGATAATATTATCGATGTATAATTTTGGCAGTAGATTTGGGGGAAATAGAAGAACTATATAAATTAATCTGCTATTGAGCAGGAATAAAACTCACAACCTTAAACCTTTTTATTTAAAGCTTGTAATTAATTTAAAAATTTATGAACTTGTCCAGTAACAACCAATAATCTAGCAATATATATTTTTGGGGTCGTGTCGAAAGATTTAATATTCATCAATGGACACATGATTTAATAAAACGCTTGCACGTTTCGAAAATCATAAATTTAAGTGCCCGAGGAAATGCTCAGGGACAAGACATTTACTTTGACTGCTTTTCATCTCTTCCATACTTTTCGTAGAAGCGACTTTTGTTTGTCAACATCGCAGCTGTACCTAGTTGATTTTAACACAATAATTGAAAGAGGAAGTTTGCCTGTCTGGAATGAAATATTATGTGATAGTAGACGAATAATGCAGAGTTACGAGAATTCTAGCATTTATATATACCCCGATTTTCTATTTGTTATGGCCCGGTCAAAACTTTAATACAAACAAATCAACAAATCAAAGAAACCTCGCGTCAACAATAACCGTCCTGAAAGTATTGGTAATTATTTATGAGCTGTCATAATCTTTTGTCTAATTAGATAATGATAAATAACCCACCCATCTATTTTAGTTTTTTTCTACCTGCATCTAAAGAAAACAGTTATACTTAATGTTTCTGTGGTTTGTAAGACTAACCAGATCAACTATTTATATCAAAGCCCAGTTTAGGCATGGGCCCAGACCCAGGGCCCCGCGGTTCATGGCAAAATGTGAATTTTTTTTTTTTTATCAAATTCCAGATGAAAGTTCCATTCATCGGTCTAGTGATTGGTCGAACCCGCTTCGTAGACGATCGCTCGTATGCTAATTATATATCATTCGGAACTGAATGAATTTCCTATTTGTCAGATATTATGTATTTTCTTATTGTACTGCAGACCGTTTAATTGTATGTTACGCATGCGTTCCATTAAAAAAAACCTTCGTGTCATTCGTAGCGGTAGGGGCTCCACGATTCTAGTCTAGCCCACGGCCCTGCTCCGTTTAAACTGGGCTTTGATTTATATAACATAAAATAACTGAAATATTGCTACAGTGTTCATTACAACTTATTGCGTGATGAATGGGGCTTGTGGTTAATAATACTCTTAAAATTTCTAAGAAATTATACAATATTGTAAACAGGCAACTCGAATGTTGGAATGGGCATTGGAATACTGCAGATGACCTTCCTAATACCGGACAAATTTCACCCATGTAATAATTTGTTACAAAATAATGCTACATGTTGATCTGGTTTATGTCCAATTAAAGGGAAAGATAGTCCTGTCACAAAATTAAATCGCTAATAGCTCGGCTCGACAAATATCATGATTGTAAACATGCAATATGCGTCATAGTTAGGTAGCTTGGCCAGGCTGATTTGAAAGTCCAGACCGGCAAAATGCCCCATTTTCTCCCGAACATATATTGCCAAGGAATACATTTATACCATTTTGAAAAAGATCGAATTAATAACTCAAGAAAGATAATGTGCATGTACCATGGAAAAAAAGCAGATTATATAAGTTGAACAAAAACAACAAATGAACATGCTCTGAATGTACAGCAGGTACGTGGGGGGGGGGGGGGTAACGGTCATGCTCCATATATTCTGAGCTGGTTCTGAATATCTGGAAACGATCAATAGAATAATAGACTGAAATCGCGCAATAAACCGAAGTCAGTTATTTTAGGACGTCACTGAGTTTGACATTGCTATCTTAGTGTGCCTCGTCGCCCATATGGGGCAAAAAAGATTCCTTGACAGTTGTACTTATAAGAAGAGTTAGCGATAAAGTCGGTGACCGATAACATTACATCCCCACCACCACCACCACCACCACCCAATCCCCGTAATGTACAGCTATAGAAATAAAAACTACCATATTATGTTTGTCTGAATATGACCATTGTAGACCTCAAAAAAATTCCAGCATCGCATCCCTTGTCATCGGTGCAGGACGGAAGGCCTGACAAAGATGAAAACCAGTCGTTCGCATAGGACCCCCCCCCCCCCCCCCGTAAAAGAACCCTTGAGAGTTGGAATTTTATCAAAACATTTACAACAAATCTAAACAAATGTATAATTTGTCTTTCTCAGTACTTTTAATATAGTATTTACAACATAATTATACATTAACAAAGTATTGTTTGAATGGAATAGTTTACCAAACCCCAAGAACAAACATATAATACTATTGTATACTTTTTGTTTCATTGTTTCGGTATATAAAAGTAATCCATATTGTCCAGCATACGTTTGCCTACACATGTAATACAATAACAAACCATTTTAGATAGACTCAGAAAATATAAATATTTACTTATATTAATGTTTTTGGAGATATGACAATCCGTAAAACTTGATCCAGACAGATTTAATAGAACAATTATCCAGAGAGACTCCTCAACAGAAGAATGTTTAAAAGTTGGTTGTTCTGTCCAGATTGTCCAGATAAGAGAAATGGAAGAAAACGTCTGATTCCACCTTCTCCTCGAGTCAACAATAGTAGTGTAAGAGGGTCGATTTGGTTGGACCCCTGTTGCCCGAATGGGTTAGGAAATAAACCTGGATTGGTCTGACTGTTGGTTACAGAACCTGGTCCGCCTGTAAAGGTGGTTGGTAAAACTATAAAATAAAATAAAATAAATTCTATTAACTAAATGATATTCCTCCTCCTTATCAAATTAGGGGGGTTGGATGGCTGAATGGTTAGCGTGCGCGCGCTGTATCATAAAGTCTGTCATTGAGTCGACTGGTGTGGTTTCGAATCCCCGGTTGTACGTGACAAGGAGTAGGGTCGCCTGTCCAACCTCGTGGGTTTTCTCCGGGTCCTCCGGTTTCCTCCCACTGCTAAAGACCCCTACGCGCAAGCGAATTATTGAAATAAAATTAAACCATATGTTAGTCCCGAAATGACCTAGTTTGTGTCGAGTGGACGTTAAACCCCATTTCTCTCTCTCTCTCTCCTTATCAAATTAAGACACTCGTAGCGTCGATGCTTATTATGATAATCCAGTACCAGCATCTTCGAAGTCTTAATGTTTAAGCGGAATTAAACGATTGAGAAACACAATAAAACTTCATAATTTTTCAGGTAAACATTAGTTTCATCGTTTCAAAGCACCAAGTCGAAGGTCCAACCATTCGACAAAATGTCCATTAGCCGAATCTGATTTAGAAAGTCTGCACCCTAAGCATTGCTGCAATATAGAGTATTTCTACTCTAACACGCTAAACACACGTAGGAAAGTAACGGAGACATTTTAATTGCATACATTAAAATTACATACCCTGCTAAACTATGACGTAGACGTCCTTACCTTGACTATAAACTGTCATGATGAGAACCATGAGAATACATACTTGAACAGACAGAGACATTGTGGGCTACCGAATAAATCTGGAAAATCAATCTAAATTAATATAGAGAAAACGGCACGTCCATATTATGTTTGTTATATTCCAAAGACAGAATATCACAAAAAGATAAAATTATGCGGATAACATAAGATTGCTTTCTCAGATATGTATAATAAAACTAAAAGGAGGACAGGCGCCGAAAAGCAAGGATCTAGCCGAATACTGCCTTAATTTTGTTATTTCATGCAGTGGCAGAGTATAGTTACCATAACAGTTGTAATATGGATTGTGGTATTTCTAGAGAAAACATTCAAAATAAATGGAACGGAAGACTTACCTTTTTGGACTAGTGTACAGTATTCGGAATAATAGACGAATGTTGTGAAAATTACCTGATCACTTGCATTTATATATACCCTGATATTATTGTTTTGAGCAGGGGTTATGATCCGGTCAACGCCGTAGTACAAACAATATGTCAGACAAATCAAACACAATCGTAGGAGAAAACAAATATATTTCGCCATTTTTTGGGTCATCTGTCTTATTTTTTTGCTTTGCTTAGATAATGATGAATAAGTGACTGGCATTTTTATACGCCCACATTTTCACTTGTGTCGGTTCACATTTGTTTGTAGACCCTCTACAGGTCACAGTTTTTATCTTGTTTTGACGAAACTTGAAATATAGGTATATATCCCAATTCCCAAAGATCTCGATTCTTTTCGATTTTGACACGTATCGGACAGTATCTTCGCTGATTATTGATTGCCCCTGGCTGTACGATAGCTTATGCGCCCTCTACAGGTTACAATTTTTATCCGATATTTGTGTGTGAAATAGCTTTATTTAACGTCCGCTTCCACCATATTGATATTGATGGAACTTAAAATATATGTTGGTATCCTTAAGATCTCTGTTTCTTTCGATATTAGCACGTTCGGACCATAACGTCCTGTTTTTTTGCCAAGGATTATATGAAAAAGGATCTTTTCAGCTTGTCGACCATCTAAAGGACGCGATTGTTTTATTTTAAATCCCGTTCAACTATATCACCATTACGTCATCATCATAGTTAAGTTCGAATTTTGTGAAAATAGGACCGAAAATCAAAATAGTAGCTACCCTTTACGCGAGTTGTGGTTGAAAATCACGTAACACGTATACCAAGATAGTAGGATCAAAAGATCCGGTATGAGTTTAATTTTGGTGTGCATCGGAATCTCCGTTCTGAAGTTATGTCAACGGCTTTTTACGCAAAATGTGAAATATGTACAAAGTTTGTGAACCCTCTAGAGGCCACAATGTTTGTCTGATTTTGATTATACTGCAAACATGCGTTCAGATTTTAAAGATCTTAGAATCGTTTGATTTTCGTGCACATCAGACATTCCGTTCTACAGTTATTTCCCCTTTTTCCGAAACTCTCGTGAACGCGAGAGAGTGTATTTTTTAAAACAGATTTTTTCCAAAATTGTTTTGAAGAAGTGGGTACCCGAGAGAACAAACCCTTATTGATAATAAGTGTTCCGAGACCTTTTGTTCCAGGTTTATGCCCCCTTACCCTAAGCTTTGGGAATGTGATAGTGGCCAAAGATTTTTTTTTCAGATTTGGTTCATGAGAGGACAACCCCTATCGATATTCACCTTGCCTTCAGGAGTTTGAAAACGTTCTGAACGCAAATCAGGCTACAGTTTTAAAGGATTTCTTTCAAATGCGTTGTGTAGAATCGGGGTCATGATCCTAGACATTCCGTTTTGAAATTACCTTTTCCTAAAACACCGTGAACGTGATATAGGCTACAGTTTTAAACAGATATAATAATAATATGTCTAATTGGACGTGAAGCATTTGAACAATGCGAGTATAAGCCGTGTTTCTTAGTTTTCCATCCATCAATCCATAGTAAAATGTGGACGCCTGTTATATCATGCTAATGGCTTGAAAGGTGTTTTATTTCATAAAGTACCTGTTCTTTTTCATATACCATTTCGGTGACCTGCACTGGTAAACTTTATAAATTTTACAGATCAACAAAAAATGATTCATGCTAGCCTTCTACACAATTTCATATTCCACTTGATTTTCCAGTTGGAACGGAATATTGTCACTACAGTCATGATACAATACGTATTGCAATTCGGGTACTACGATACAAGTTGTATCACGATTCGTTGGGTTGGATGGCTGAATGGTTAGCGTGCGCGCGCTGTATCATAAAGCCTGTCATTGAGTCAACTGGCGTGGTTTCGAATCCCCGGTTGTACGTGGCAAGGAGTAGGGTCGCCTGTCCAATCTCGTGGGTTTTCTCCGGGTCCTCCGGTTTCCTCCCACTGCTAAAGACCCCTACGCGCAAGCGAATTATTGAAATAAAATTAAACCATATGTTAGTCCCGAAATGACCTAGTTTGTGTCGAGTGGACGTTAAACTCCATTTCTCTCTCGCTCTCTCTGTATCACGATTCATAACCAGGGGCCGGTTGCTCAAAACTAAGTTATTTTAACAATCTGTAAAACTCTAACGAAACGTTATCTTGCTAATGCGTCGTTTGTTAACGGTGCGTTTAATTTCTGTTAGCTAACGGCCTGGTTACAATCCAAGAGAACACTGTTCATTGGCTGAATTTTAAATGTGTAAATTCAATGTACATCTATAACAACTTTTTAGTTCACACAACTTGATTAAAGACAAAAAGATTTCTGTAGAATTTTCTACAGAAAACACTGTAGAAAACTAAAGAATACTTTATTTTTTCTTTTAGAAATTCTATCATAAATCTGTAGGAAAAAATATTGGATTTGCACTATAGTAACTGTAAAATAGTTGGGGCCATTATTTCCTACGGACCAAAAAGATTTTGAAGAATAATACAGAATTTCATCTCATCCTATTGAAAATGAATAATAGCTCCCTTCACCCATCGCCCAACCCTCTATCGCCCAATCCTCTAGAATGTTCTATAGAAAATTACAATGGTAATCTATAACCTTTTGCTAAGGGTATTGTTCGACTGACAGCCGACTAATGCCATCATTAAACAGATATTGGAGCCCAACACCCGCGTTAAATATACCCCTAAAAAAGTAGGGAATATTCAGACACTGCGGAAATGCACTGCTGTTTTTATTAGAGGTAACTAGTGTCTGTTAATAACATTCCAATTGCCTACACATGAACATAAACAGTTCATATGGGTGGCTTATCTGACGGCCCCATTTCACTCGCAAAGAGATACACCGTCAAAAGTAAAAATTGGACATTTTGATTTTTGTCTTAATAATTAAGAGTGACAGGTTACTTACTAAAGTGACAAAAAAAATAAAAAAGAATCGCGGTCTCACGATTTAATAGACGTATCATAAGAAGGTGAATCGCGATACATCGATTCAACGAAATACCATGCCAACATTAGAAATTAGTAATCCTCTTCCTTTTGACTTCAATATTAACGCTATGCCATTCCTTGGGCCTTTAACATTTTATGAACATTTTTATGATCTTAATCTTTAAAAGCACAAAAGAGCCCAGCATGTCATAATCATCTGATAATATATTGAAGGAAGTTGACCTTTTCGAATTTTTGCTATGCCCAGTCAAAGATATCTATAGATTATGACCGTTTACTTCCTGATCTGTCCGCTTCAAAATCATGACTTTTCACGGAAACCAAAAAGAGAGAGAAGGAATTGCTATATATAGACGCACTACCACATAATACAAGCCGTGAGTAAAAAAAACAGCAGCAATATAATTATGAAGCACTTATATTACATCAGGATAATATGATAGTGTATGCATGGATGGATGCATAATTATAAAAGCAGATCAGTTTAACAAGTGACTGATACAAAGATTATGCTGTCTTATATAGACGGATATATTTATAATTATATGGGTGTTTATAAGTTAAACTTGGCGTAACCTTCTGAATATTATTTCAAGTGCTATATTATTGCTATACAGATAATAAAAATGAATATATTGAACATTTCATTCAAATTACTTTATTCTGACTGAGATGTTGCGTAGATGGTTTATTACCGTAGTCTCGATTATCTATTTTATCATTAAATTTTTAAATCTCGACCATTTGGTGATCTATAGAGTTGATTATGGACTTGTCATGTCTAATTAATAATCTATATGATAGTTGACGCCAAAGGAAAGACCTTTACTAAACAGCTTAGCTCTTACATAATGCATCTTTCAAAACTTTAAGGCGTACAAAAGTTAATTGACAAAAAATTGTCTCTAATTAGTAGATTTATGTTGTAAAATAATGAGATGTGAGAACTTGACTATCAGAAACGACTATACTCATAGCGGAAAAATGGGATCATCCAATTAAATAATACATTATCATGCATACCAATGTTTGTATTCAATAAAATTTGTTTAATACAATACATATGTTCAATCAAATGCGATCGTCGACCGCCAGGGATTCTGTGGCATTCTGTATAATAAACAAATTGACAAATAACCTCCGGTAGCTTCAGTCTGGAAGACCCGACTCAGTTTATTCTTGCCATCGTATTCCTACCATTTTCATGATTGAAATCAAAGCAGATATTGTACACGTTTCTGGTACCCTTTCATAACTGTTATCAGCCGATGTAACAGGTAAATTATAGTAAGATTAGATTCGTCAAGTCACTAATTCGAGAAATGTTGGGAACTTAGAGCCTTTCGCAATCTTTGTTTGGTCAGTTCTTTCTCAAAGATGAATGCCTGGGTTAGTTGGTCTCCTGTTGCCAAGGGTTTTGCGCGTTCTTTAGTCCACGTGAAATTGTCTGTAATTTGGAATATATTATAGTCTAGGGTGTGCTGCGCTTAAAAGAGTATGAAGTCTTACATTGATCGGTATTTAAGTAGATTATTAGATTAAATCCCATATCGGGAAGGAAATTAGCACGATTAATTACATGGAGTAGGTCATAAATTGAGCATGTCACGTATACAGAACTGCCTGGAACACTGAATATTTCAATTCGAATATCACAATGCATGTTTCCTTTCATTCCAAACCGTACTTGTAGTACTATTAGTCAATCTTAGCGCATGAATTACTCAGGTTATTAGGCAACGACAACACTCGCCCATTCATCGTCTTGGATATATAATACGTAATGGCGACTACGTTCAAATTTATCAAAAAGATTTCTCTTAAAGTGTCACAATATACCTTTAATGTGTAGTGGGAAATAATGGGTAATTAAGCTTAGTTGTTCGGCTAGGAAGGAAACCAAGCCCCCCCCCCCCCACTGGAAACATTGGTTTGCATGTAACAGATTCCTTGTAGGCGGAAGCGCCGCAGTCGTCGCCCCACCCCACTCACTCCTACACACGCACTGTTGCTCGAG